ATGTTTCTAAGCATGGCTAAGCAATCATAACTAATATCTAGCTGAACCAATATATAAAGCCCAACTAGTCAAGTTATAATAACCCAAGGTATCAAGGAATAAAGTAATCAATGCAAATTGGCCATAACAAAGGAATAAGTTCACACCACCCGGTGACATTCGAAAATAAATGCACAGTTGAAATAAATAGAGAATTTAAATATAGGATCAACATGCTCAAAGGATTGTGTTTAGGATCTGTGTGACTTGCCTTGCAATAATCGATCTTCAATTAATCTTCTTGAATACTTCCGGCGCACTCACGAACCTTCGCAACGACGGAAACGACAAGCTAACACGCAAAACAAAGAAAAAGACTAATAAAAACCAAATAAACAGTACATATAAAGTAAACAAACATGTAGATCCTGATTTTAGATGAATTTAGCAACTTGAACCACTCAAAACCGAGTTACGATGATTTAGTTATGAATTTCCGAAGATTTAATCTATTAGAAAAACAGGAAAAAGAAAAAAACAATGATGACGTCATGATGATGACCTCATCAATGGCCGGACCAAGATGGCGACCTCGCCGGAGATTGGATGGTCGGCTGCGACTTTGGAGGACATGAACACGTAGAGGACGACGAGACGAACCCAACGGTACCCACCCTCGAACCAAACGACGAACGACGACGGCCGGCGACGAGGTCTAGCGGCGGCGCGGCTTCGGTCGACGGCGGCGACGGGGCTGCGGTGGTCGGCGGCTTCGGGGAGATAGCGGCCGAGCTTGCCCACACCTCGGCGCACCTTACGGCGATGACGGCGACCGGCGGCGACGACGGAGGCGGCGGCGCGACGCGGATGGAGCTCGGCCGGCGACGACGGCGGGGTGGAGCACGTGGCGGCGGCGCTACGAGGCACGGGAGACCACGGGAGAGGGGGCAAACGAAAGAGGAGGACTAGGGGGTCCTATTTATAGCCTTGGATTGAAGAGATCGGACTCCTCCCGCAAGAAATCGATCCGGGAAATCAAAAACTCGGTTTTGGAGATAAACTCGAAAACGAGTTCGATTCGGATAAGATACTCAACGATTTGCACCGATTTTTGGGGGTAAAGATAGAGGAGGATAAGAGGAATATTTCCCCTCAACTAAATTTTAGAAAAACACAAGGGGAAAGGTCAGATTTGGAGGAGAAAAACCGAGCCAAATCGGTCTCAGTTCGGCTGCTAGAGGTAGAAGATAAACAGTGTCGAGGGAGGCAAATTAGACTTTTCGTCTTGGGCTGGCTGAAAACAAAGCAAAGAAAGAAAGAGAAGGGGGAAGCTCGGCTGGGCCGACTTGGGCTGCACGGCCGTGCAGACAAAAGAGGGAGATGGGCTGGAAAGGGCCCAAGACTAGGAAGAGGATTATTATTACTTTTCCAATTAAATTAATCAATGAAATGATCTTTGAATTTTTAAAAATACTTCCTATGCTCAAATAATTCCAAGAAAAATCTTGAACATACTTGGACACCCAAAGTATTTAACAATATTAAAAACAGACCATTTAATGATTAATTTAATATGTGGGTAATTACTGAAATGCTCTTTGTATGATTAAAAATTAAGAATTGAGCTCCGAAACATCTGAGAAAATTTCAGAGAGTGTAATTAATCATGGAGAATTTAATCAAAATTAAATCCATCCATGCTTTATATTTAGGAAATTTTATTTCCCACATTTAACTTCACTTGTAAATTAATGAACATTTAATATAAATTCTAATAATAATTTATTAAATAATTTATAAATCCTGAAACAAAAATCAGGATGTGACAACGTACTAGGCTCCTCTCAGCTTGGAGGAGCTCCAGAGGTGCACACTCAGGAGCAGCCAGAGGTCACACCTGTACAGGCAGGACGGGTTGGCCGTGCCATACCACCGGACCGACTCACGTACTCCCAGGGGCACGTTAGGGCGCAGGGTAGGAGGGACAGGGGTAAGAGGTCTCGTCAGTAGTGTTCTACCTCTTCAGTCCTTATGTGACCGTTTCTTTTGGCTTACAAACTTGTAAAGCAATACTACTTTTGCTATTACTACTGCAGTACTACTTGTGTTTCTCTCGCCTACATAGTTCTTTTCATTCATATGGTGCTAGAACAACTTATGCTCACGACAACACACTTTCGGCGCTTCACGGTAGTGTCAGATCCAGTAGCGCGCACAGTCCAGCACGGCACACATGAAAAGCGGCAGCTCGAGTAGTCACTATCAACTTTCGGCGCTGCCTGCTGACATAAAGTGAATCACGCCCGCGCGTGCTCGTCTTGTCACATCTAATGAATAATGTATCTCATTGAGTGCACATATATTGCACTGAAAACGATGCTATATAATTGACAATCTGAAGGCAACCTCTTCATATCTTCTTTCCAACTAGCACACAACTAACGAGAATGGAAGCGCCATTCCTTGAGCGTCTCAACTGGCGAAGCGATCCTTTTGCTGGTTGGTTTCCACCATGGTGTGACCGTCCTTTGTGCGATTGTGGGGATGGATGCATACTCAAGTCTTCCCTCATGATACAAACTCGGGGCAGGAGATTCTTCCAATGTGCGAACTTTGATCAGGTATGATTCATCTATTCAAAGTTCAAATGGATAAAAAAACTAACTTCTTCGTACACAATTGTAACATCTTACGCAGACATATCGTCCAATGTGCAACTTCATCGAGTGGGTAGACATGGAGAACCCACAAAACGACGGAACACGTGCATACCCACGTAGTGAAACAAGATCGGACTACCTAAGGCGGAAGGATGAGCATGAATGTCGAATTGCTGCTGAGGCTTTAGAATGGCAGGTAAATCCCCTAGGACTCCCCACGTGGCGTGAGCGTCCAGAGTGTCGTTGTGGTGACCGTTGTCAGGTCATAAGGTCCGTAAGGCACCGAACTCGAGGACAAAGGTGTTTCATGTGTCCAAACATTGTCGACGATGATTTCGTGGTAATTACAACTATTCTTTTCATCACTCCTCAGTACTATCATTAACTTAACTATCCCAAAATGGATGTACATAAGAGGATGTAAGGAAATGTCAATTCGTACAATGGATTGACAAAGTCCGAGTTACTTCCAGTGGCGGGCCGATAACGCAACCTGAACCGACCACATAGTTCATTCATGCTTGGATGGAGTACGAACATCGGGTGGAAATTGCAAGCTTAGATTGGAGGAACAATCCATTAGGGTTACCTAAATGGTCCGAGCGTCCAAAGTGTGGGTGCAGAGATCGCTGCCAGGTGGCTACATCCTTTGCTGAACAAACATTTGGAAGGAGATATTTTGTCTTCCCCAATGTAGACAACGATTTCGTTGTATGTCTAACCGTTTCCAAAATCCGCTATGATTTGCACAAAATTTCTACCCAAACTGAATAACATTACTATTTTTTCAGGGCAATCCAAGGATGTGTGGATTTACTCGATAGATCGACAATGTCACTCCATCATATCATGGCCAGAAGATAACAGAGTCAGAAACACAAGTAGAGTATCAACGATTGAAGGACCACGAGAATGCAATGCATTCTGACCGACCTAGAAGGGGCCGATAGGTTACCGCAGGCTAGATTCGTCGGGATCAACAAATTTGTACCGTGTATCGATGGCACTTCTTATCTATCTTATCATTACAATGTTTAATTATGGTGGTGAATTTTTGTATGCGTAAGACTAAGGGCCTATTTGGATTGCTACCAAAAACATGCCCTACTAATATTTTGGTAATTTGAATAGTACTTGTGTTTGATTTGGATTGAAGCCTATTCATTGGTAATACCTAATCTAGATTTGGGATCATGTAGAACATTCTTCACTACAATTTTACATTTTGGCTCTATTTTGGTAGCAAACCAAATATGATCAAATGCAATTTTACCTTACCAAAGATTTGGCAGTGCCAAAACTTGCCTATATTTTGGCACTACCAAAAAATTTGTAGGGTAACAATTCAAATAGGCCCTAAAAAAATAATAAAATTGTATTTTACCAATCTTGGAGATTTTAATCTTGTATAGTTTTCAATACAAAAAGATTTGATAACTATTGATATTAATAAAAAAAAATATATTTCTCAAATAAAGCATAGTATAAAATCGCCCTCCCCCAGGGTGGCAAGGGGGCCGCGTGCAATTTTCAATACAAAAAGATTTGATAACTATTGATATTAATAAAAAAAATATATTTCTCAAATAAAGCATAGTATAAAATCGCCCTCCCCCAGGGCGGCAAGGGGGCCGCGTGCAATTTTCAATACAAAAAGATTTGATAACTATTGATATTAATAAAAAAATATATTTCTCAAATAAAGCATAGTATAAAATCGCCCTCCCCCAGGGCAGCAAGGGGGCCGCGTGCAAAATTCCAGTCCCCCGCCACCCATTTACAGGCGGCCCCCCGCACAGTGTAAAATCGCCCTAGCGGAGGGCGGCAAGGGGGCCGCTTGCAAATTTCGTTGACGGCCGTCGCCCGAGAGCGAACGGCCGTCTGCCACGTCACATTTGCCGCCCTCTGGGAGGGCGATTTTTCCCAGAGGGTGGCGGGCGACTACTTATGTCAATTTTCAAAATTGAAAATTATTTTTGTAAAACTTTTAATAAAAAAAATTCCTGATAGGGCTAGGTAGCGGTTGGTTAATGTGGTGAGGATAAATTAGCCCAGATGCATGGTTGATGGGCTCCGCGGCCCGCTAAAAGAGAGGGACACACATGATGGGAAGTTAGTTGACCATCCAGTTGTCAAGTTTGACTCGGATTGATGACTGGACCCACTGGTCTGCATGGAGTATCTGTAGTACTAGGGAGTAGTAGTAGGTGTGGACTAAGTGTAGTATGTTTGACCGGTTGTGCCGCCCGTACATATGCATGTGTAGTGATGGGAGCGCGTGGAGTGGAATTGACTAGTACTAGTATAGTAGACGGACGGCCATTGATGCATGTGGCTTGTGTGGTCGTGATGCGTCATGTGAACTGCTGACTACCTTCTTCACACTTGTTTTTACTCCCAAAATATTCCGGCTATCGAACGCGTTTGAGCGACGGAGAGAGTTGCATATAGAGAGAGAGAGAGAGAGAATGATGGATTAGCTAGCTAGCTTGTTCCTCCGTCGGCTCGGGCGGTCCTCTTCGAATTGGATCTTCTTCTTCTACTCACATACACACACACTCGATCTTGTGCCTCTGCAGCACACGGTAGTGTTGGTTGATGGCAAATCCTAGTCGTCATAGCAGGTCAGGTGATGGTAATGGTTGGGCTAGCCCCGAGCGGACGATGGTGTGGAGGACGGAGCTCAAGAAGAAGCAGATGAAGCAGGTTGTGGTGGGCGTGGTGTACTACCTGTGCCGGCAAGACGGGCAGCTGGATCACCCCCATTTCGTCCACGTCCACGTCCCCTCCGACTCCGACTCCGATCATCCGCGGCCGCGCCTCCACCTCCGCGACTTCATCGCCCGCCTCAGCGACCTCCGCGGCGCCGCCATGCCCGCCGCCTACTCCTGGTCCGCCAAGACCACCTACAGGAGGAACGCCGGCTACGTCTGGCAAGACCTCACCGCCGACGACCTCATCCCCGCGCCATCAACCAACCATGAGGAGTATGTCCTCAAGGGCTCCCCGCTGCTCCACCATAACTCCAATACGCCCCCGCAGCACAGGAGGTGCATGACATCCTTTGACCTCGCCGACTATCACCGCACCACCGACCCTGTCCCTGTCCCGGCGGCGGCGCAGCAGTCCTTAATTGGCATTGATGAGATATCACCTCCACCGTCTTCAAGCAGCCCCGACGACACCACCACCCAGCTTGTTACCCTGAAGCAGAAGCAACAGGAGGAGGATGGCTGCACGCCCCAGCAACAAGCGGCGACGACACCGGCAGGGCGGATGCGGACGTCGGCGATGCTGATGAAGCTCATCTCGTGCGGCGCCTCCTCCATCAAGGAGCTGCAGGGCCAAGCACAATCACAACGCTGCCGTGCTACTGCTTGGCATAACAACAAGCCGGACATCATGGACCACCGTGACTACTTCAGTGGAAGCTTGCTGGACAACAACACAACCACCCACCCTATCGACCTCACCCTCAGGAGATCATCCTCTTGCAATGCCCACAGGTACCAGTTTTTTTTATTTACATATACTGCGTAACACATTACTAGTTAATTAATTTGATCAACAAATTAATCCCTCTTGATTATATTATTGAATTGAATTGCAGGGGACAGAGTAGTAGGCTTGGCGTGGTGGATCAGGATGGCGTCCCGAGGAGGCAACAGCTGCACGCCAAATCGACGGCGGCGCGCATGGACAGCCCGGAGACAGATCAGATCAGATCATAGAGGAGGGGATCAGCAAGCTAAGCTAAGCTAAGCTAATGCTCTTGTCAGGCAACTCATCCATCGAATGATACCAAAATGTTTCTTCTGTTACTAGTACTACACTAGTTAGTTATTTTATTTCCCTTTTTTTTTCATTTCAACAAGTTAGTTTGTTCGTTTGAGCGCGCGATTCGATCAGTTGGTGTGAAAACGAAAACGAAAACGATGGAACACACGTATAAAAACATCTGTGTAATCTCGTCTTTTATTAACTTAAGGGAATCAATCAATGTCAGATGATTGTCACCCAGCACATGCCTGAGTACCGACGCATAGCAAATGATGCTTCGTACTAGCACTCAGCTTACCAACCACAACGTACCAGCCAGCAATCGAATGCATCAAAATTAAGACTTTGGTTATTTTTCGCCTTTGTTCCGTCGATGAATTAGGAGGAATTGATGGCATGGCGATAACATGTATTCCAATTGATTATCCTTTTCCTTTGTTAAAAGAAAAGAAAGGCATGAGAAAGGAGTATGTAGGTCTTCATGGAATGGATTGTGGGGGATTTAACTGTGGATGATCTTATTGATGCCTGAGAATATATATGGTGCTGTTTTTTTTTTAATGAAACAAAGATGGTGGTGTTGGAGGCTTGGAGCCAGGGGAAGCGACTCTTTACTTTACGTATACTGGAGTAATGCAGGTTTCCTTTTAGGAAAAAGTACACCGAAGGTCCCTTAACTTGTCATCGGGATTAAAAAACATCATCGAACCACAAAACCAGATATGCGGGGTCCTTTGACTCTACAAAACCAGTCACCCGAGGTCCTTCTGTGGTTTTGACCCCGGTTTTGGTCTAGGTGGCAGCTGAGTAAGCGTGGACCCACTTGTCAGGTGACACGTCGTCACCTCTCTTTTCCCCTCTCTCCCTTCCTCCTCTCTCTGTCTTCTCTGTGCGGGCGAGGCGGGGCACGTCGATGACCAAGCTCCACCACCGCACCGATGACGACGATGGCGCACAGGCGCGAGGCTGGGCAGAGAAGGGACAGTGGGCACCAGCCGCAGCGTCAGCCTCCGCCTCCACCTACGTCGCTGCACCCGACAACGACACACGCGCTCGAGGCCGCGCGGAAAAAGGGCGGTGGCCGGCGGAGCGGCGGCGGGCACCAGCCGCAGCGTCAGCCACCGAGGCCTTCGTGAGGAGGGCAACAACGGTGGAGGACGACGCCGCCGCTGCCGACAAGGCCGAGAGGCGCGGAGGCGACAACGGCTGCCTCTCCCCATCTGCTGCCGGCGACTAGAAGAGAAGAGGATAGAAGAAAGAAAAGAAGCGCCGCCGACCCCAGCAACATCCTCTCCCTTTCTCTCTCGCCGGATTGGATCGAATCGTTGGCCGCCGGGGAAGCAGCTGGGCACGGCCGGTCGGTGCGGCGGGCGTGGGTGGCGGGGGAGGAGCTAGGCGCGGACGACGATGGCTTGGGGGACCTCCTCATCGATTCGCACGCGCATCTCGACGAGCAGCGCGTCATCCGGCTCCAGCACGCCGTTGACGGCCAACGACTCAAATAGCAGCGCCATGCCATCGGACTTGACGGCGTCGAGGGCGTCGGAGCGGAGGGCAACCTTGGCGAGGTCGTTGAGGTCGGGGTGGGAGAGGAGGAAGAGCTTGTGGGCTAGCACCCGGTGCTGCTCCTGCTTCGCCTCCTCGCTGCCGGCATCCATGTCGTTCTCATTGGAGTTGGGGAGGCGCGGTTAGGTCGGCTCGTCGGAGGAGCGGGGTGCGGCGCTGCGCCCGAGGAGCGGGCAGGGCAGGGTGGGGCGAAGCAAGAGGCCGGGGGGGAGTGGGAGGCGTGCAACGCGACTGGCGGCCGATAGGGGAGAAGAGCGGCGGTGGCGCTCGCTGGCGAAGACGGGCAGCGGGCAGGGGGGGGGACCAGAGGTGAACGGCGCGGCCGGCGGCCAGCAGGGGAGAGCGGCAACGGAGCATGTCTCCTCCCCTCTCTTGTCTTCCTCCTCTCGGTGTTCGCCTCCATCGACGCTGCCATCGATCAGGGCCAAGCTCATCGTCAACCACGACGGCCCGCGCCGCCACGGCGGTGTCGGGGCAGACAGGCAGCTGGCCCTCCCCATGCTCCCCCTTCGCCTCCCCCTGTGCTCCCGCCGCCTCCGCCGGTTGCCGCACCTCCTCTCCTGCCTCGCAACGCCGGCCCGCCGGCCTCCTCCCCGCTTGCCGGCCGCCCTGCCCAAGAAGAAGAGAGAGAGAGAGAGGAGGTGAGAAAAGAGGGGAGAGAAAGGTGATGACGTGGACTGTCTGACATGTGGGGCCCACGTGAGTCCTATGCTGATTCAGCCACCACGTCAGATAAAACCGGGCTGAAAACCACCGAGGGACCTCAGGTGACCAGTTTTGTACAGCTGAGGGACTCCGCATATCTGGTTTTGCGGTTCGAGGATGTTTTTTATCTCGATGACAAGTTAAGGGACCTTGGGTGTACCTTTTTCCTTCCTTTTAACAACAATGAATCTGTATGCATGGGCCGAACAAGGCTCGTCAGCCCAATTCTTTGATTCCCCACACTTCCAATTCCAAACTTGCCAGAGAGAGAGAAATGTCTTGTTTCTTCAGGAAGGGTGGGGTGGAATAGATCAGATCGGATCGAGATCGAAGAACAAGGGGGAAGGAAGGAAGGGGTGGAATTGAAGAAGATGGGGACGATGAGGAGGGTGGTGAAGGAGAAGAGGTTCTGGGTCGCCTCCTTCCTCCTCGTCTGGGCTGCCGCGCTCCAGGTATCAGTATCACCTACTCCCATCCCATCCATGGTGGCGCGCGGTGGCTGCTCTCTCTCTCTCTCAGACTCACTCAGATCGATCTGTGGATGGATGGATTGAATTGAATGGCAGGGGCACATGATGTGGATGCAGCGCCAGGACGCCTTCAAGCAAAAGTTCCCCTCCAACTCCAACCACGACGACGACCTCGCCGGCGCCGACTCCTAGCTAGGCAGCTACTCCTTCCATTCCATCCCATCTAGGGCTTACTGTACTACCCCAGTAGTGGAGCTCCTCCCCTCTACAGTAGTACTTACTTTCTTCTTCATCACTTGATGGGTAGTAGTACTCCGTAGTAGCTAATGATCGTTGAAAACGAGTACTACGTGTTTGATGAATCGCCTGCCTGCCTAATTGAATTGCTTCTTACATACTCCTACTCCGTAGTTTGCTGCTTTGTTGGATTCAGGCAGCTTATTAGTAGGAGTATTAAACTGTCTTGTATGGACTCACTCGCTCACACCTTCCATTAGATTTACATTTTGGTTTTGGATCGATTAATTCATGTCCTTCTCCTTCCTTCCTCCTACTACGGTACGGTTCAACGCGCAAACATTGGAGTAACATTTAACACTGGGCCTGGCCTGGAACAATGGATCTTGACATCTTCTTCATTTGGATGCCGTGGTGGCCGACATGTTGATCGGGTAAACTGCTCGCTCTCTAAGTAGAAACTGCAATGCACACAGCTACTGCTTGAACAAGCCAACCCAACCCAATTAATCGGTTCATACTTCATACAACTAGTAGTATGATAGTATGCGGCATAGCATAGCACAGATCCACGGGGACGACTGATTCCAGGTCAATTAATCGCAGACGGACGGACGTGCAGTGCATACAGTACATGCATACAACTTCAGTTTCTATACAATACAGCTCTGTCCCAACTTCCGATACATACATATTCAACTGACTAGACTTGGTCTCTCTCTCTCGCCCTGCCCTGTAGGTAAGGAAGGAAAGGAAGATAGATAGATAGATAGATAGATAGATCGATCGATCATTCTCTCTTCCAACCGTCTTCCCATGCTGACTCAGCAATTACTCAACACTTTTAGGCCTGCCTCTGCCTCTGCCTCTCTATAAAAACCGCCAGAGTAGACAAACCATCCATTGCATGCTTGCTTCCATCTGATCTTCTTCTTCCCTGTCCTGACACAGCCTAATTAGGAGATCAAGCTCATCCAATCCAAGCAGCAACACAACACACAACGTCTCAACTTGGTGCGTCTGCAACCTTCTCTGCCCCCATCCCCTCTCTACGTAATAATACTACTCCTAGAGTTCCTAGTATGATCTGCTCGGCTTTGTTTTCTTTTTCTTAATTTATTTTGTCCATGCTATGCCTATGCTAGCCTGCAACTTACTAGTAAGTCATTTCCTGCCTTCCTTACTTCATTCATAGTACTCTGTTTGATTTGGTTCATCTATGTCATGCAGGCTTGTTTCATCGAGCAACAGCAAGCTCCATTTAAGATTTGATTCAATATTCCATTTCCATGGCTCCCCCTCTCCAAGTCGCGACCACCGCGAGCTCCTCCACCCGCGAGGGGAAGGCACCAGCTCTCAATGAGAGGATACTCTCATCCATGTCCAAGAGATCTGTTGCAGCACACCCATGGCATGACCTTGAGATTGGTAAAATACTCGTAACTCTATTCTCTACTCTACTCTACTAACTGCTGCTCAACCACCTCACTTTGGAGTATTTCGTTACTAGTAGTGATTTCCTTGGGTACACGTTACCCTTCAGATTTCTATTATATTTCTTAGGTTCAAAAATTCATCATTTTCCCTCCTTTGCTTTGCTTGCAGGACCTGAGGCACCCACCATCTTCAACTGTGTAAGACACTGCTGCTTGCCTTTGCCGATTCTCTCATCACTTAAATGTTCTTGTTTAACTACACCATACAGTTCATGCGGATGGCATGCAAAACCTGCTAGCTATGTATATTCAGTCTTCTGATGATGGCCATCTTGACACTGACTCAACAACCCACCCATGTTCTGTCTCACAAAGCCACATTATGTGACAAAGCAATACTCAGCCACTTTTGTTTTCAGGTCATCGAAATACCGAGAGGCAGCAAGGTCAAGTATGAACTTGATAAGAAAACCGGGCTCGTAAAAGTAAAGATACATGTTTCACTCATCTTCTTCTGCACTTGCAGTTTTCCTAAGCTTATGTTTCCTTTTCTGTACCATGCAACATGCTCAGGTAGACCGAGTTCTCTACTCTTCAGTCGTCTATCCTCACAACTATGGGTTCATTCCTCGCACGCTGTGCGACGATAGTGATCCTTTGGATGTGCTGGTCATAATGCAGGTGTGTATTTCCTTGCACGTTGCTAAATCAGAATACAATAAGTCTTTCATCTAGGTATAGCCCATCCATACATGGTCCCTTCACTGAAACTTGTTACACAACACAATAGAATAAATCCACTATCAAGTCTATTTTTGTAATCCTTAACAATTGATCCCTTTTCCTGCGTATCTGGTGGTTTTGAACTAATGTTTACTGCACACAGGAGCCAGTTATCCCAGGATGCTTCCTACGGGCAAAGGCCATCGGTGTCATGCCAATGATCGATCAGGTTTGGTCCCTACTCAACAAGTGCGCTTTCTTCAGAATGAATGAACAGATTCTAAAGTGGTAAGGTTTTATCCAGGGAGAGGCAGATGATAAGATTATTGCAGTCTGTGCTGATGATCCTGAGTACAAGCATTACAACGATATCAAGGACCTCCCACCTCACCGCTTAGCTGAAATCAGGCGTTTCTTCGAGGACTGTATCCTTTTAATTTATTGCTCTTAATGTACTTGTTCTATTTGCATTCATAGAGCATAAAATATTCATGGAACTCTACTGAAACAAGCTCAGCTAGCTTCCCATTGCCTTATTTATCACTGCAGTATGAATTATTTGTAGCTTCTCAAGTTTGAAAGGACAAGGAACATATATGGTTTGTGTTTTTGGATGGATGCCTAGTAATTGTATCTCTCGCAGAAGTTCGTTGATTACTGCATCTTGGCCACTTAGTGCATGTACATGTACTTAGACAGTGCTACTATCTTCTTGAATTGAGTATTTTCTTTAATGGGGTAAAATAGACAAGAAGAATGAGAATAAGGAGGTGGCTGTCAACGACTTCATGCCTGCCACTTCTGCTTATGAGACCATACGCCATTCCATGTGAGTTTCAATTCCTACATATGTTCCTTGGGCGATATGCAACGCCAAATATTGAGCTGGTTTTTGTTCTACAGGGATCTATATGCTACTTACATCCTTGAGGGCCTACGCAGATAGGAGGTGCCTTGTCACTGCTGGAAGATGTTGACGAAAAAACATGGACACATTGCATTATATACGTATATAATACCATTCTTTCTTACTATAGATAATTTGTAGCCTTGATGGCAGTACGCCCGACCGATAAATATTCTTTTCCCAGCTCATATATGTGATATGAATAACTGATTGAGCAAAATATGACATGCTTTGGAAATTTTGGATGAATCATGTGTGCATCAAGAAGTACGAGCTTCCTTGTTAATTGATATGCCCATAATAGGCTTAGCGTTTACTGGTGCATAGAATGAGCAGTTCTTTTTTTCAAACTCGTGCAATGGTTTTTCAAGGGTAGCTACACCAATCATATAAGTTTTCAAGTCGGAAACATGGAATTGTTCCGCCAACAGGGGGGTCCAAGTTGAGCTAAAGCAGACAGAGACTAGTGTTCTATTTCCATGTTACTCTGGGGGAAATTAAGCTTGCTTTGATATATTCCAGTTGTCTAAATTCAGCAGAATACAGAATAAATGTTTAGATGATATATCAAATGACTTGTGTATTGGGGAGATGGGACAAGATTGAAACCCACATATGCAGAGGTGCATATTGCTAGCCATGAAAACGAAAGACTACATATCTACAAATACATGCCTTAGTTGAGCTCTCCATGCACCCCGACACAAGACAAGACACTTACTCCTCCAAGAAGAAGTGGCACCAGATCATCCGCTGTTTGCATAGTGTACCCTTATGTTCCTTCCATCAATCACCTGAAGCAATTTCATCAAATGGAACAATTGCATTAGCAAAGTAATGCATATTATAGCAAAACATCCTGACTTGTGCCTGTCTAGCACCACAAGAGAGCAAACCTACCTCACCCCCCATCTTGTGCAATGCTGCAGCAGCTTCATCTTCTGAGGCAAACTTGACAAAGCCATACCCTTTGGATTTCCCTGTCACTGGGTGGCATATTACCTTCACTGCACAACACATTAATCAATCAGGGAGAGGACGCTGTCGGTTCACACACACAGATTCAGAAACCTGATAGCATCGGAAAGGAACAGATGGTTTGAGATGTACCTTGAATAATATGGCCATGCTGAGAGAAAGCATCCTTGAGAGCAGTCTCATTTGTATCGTAAGAAAGACCTGCAAATCAAAACAAGACAGAGCGGTACAAGTATTAGCACTAGGCTTGCGTGGTTGCAGCGAATTAGAGCTAACACTAATTCAACCAAAGACAATGTTTGCACAATAATGTATATCGAATTCGAAGCAGGTAGGCAGGAAATTTGCACCGCCAATGAAGAGTTTGGAGCGGCAGGAGGAGGAAGAGGCACGGGCACGGGCAGTAGATGAAGGATGGGACAGAATCCCGAAGGGAGTCGCCGCGTAAGGCACCAGCTTTGGTCTCCTATTCAGCATTGGCTTTAAACCCTAGATCTATCCCCGAATCAAATACTGATTTGAGAAGCGGGTCGTTTTTGACAATCGGAACCCTGTGAAATCCACATATTTTGGACTCGGACAGAGACTGTTAATAAATTGTCCAATCCAACAATCTCAAGCACAGTGTTACTGCTAGTCCAGGGACTCCGGACGTAGCAAGCAAGCACATAAGAATCCCGTTTTGCAGAAATAGAACACGGAATGCGTTTCCAAGAACAAGACAGATGTGGGAGCAAAAGTAAGGAAGGAACTTCCATTAGCCAAGGAATGCAAGGAGTACAAAGCTAGGACCAATACCACCCCACCACTATCAGATCTAACGGCAGCATTACATACAGCAGAAGAAGAAGAAACCCGATTCAGACTCTACTCTACTCTACTCTACTCTACTCTACTCGGCGGCGGCGACGGCCTTCTTGGGGGACTTGGCGGTGGCGGGGTTCTTCTTTGGCGACTTGGCCTCCTTGTTGGCCTTCTCCGCGGCCCTCTTTGGGAGGAGCACCAGGTTGATGTTGGGCAGCACTCCGCCATGGGCGATGGTCACCCCCAGACAGCAGCTTCTCGAGCTCCTCGTTGTTGCGGATGACCAAGGAGATGGCGGCGTGGACGACAAGAAGGGATGAGGCAGAAGCAATCCAACTGGTCGGGAGAAACGAGACGATTCCATAGCTCGTTTTAATGGGATAAATGTCCACCAGCAAATAACCAAAATTTCATGGCTCCATCGGTAGGCCTAATGAGCAAAAGCAAATTTGAATTTTTAATCTTAATTTGAAATTAATTTAAATATATTTTCAACGTAGTTTTTTTATATTTGACTTTTAACTTGCTAAGAATAAATAGGGCCAATCACGAAATTGGAAAAATCATCGTATGTGTCATTGAAGCCCCACATATCATTGTCACGTATAATGGTATCTTGCAACTCATGTATATTTGTGATGGTATTTCCCAAATCTTTCTTAATAAATATATAAAAGTTTTACGTATAAATTAATTTATATTTTATAATAAACCGTTTTGGTTTAAGAGGTGGACAACATTTTAGATGTACGATATCAAATTTTGAAAAAGAAAAAAAAGGAAAGGGTCAGAAGGAATACATTCATGTGATTGGGCTTCAGCTCCACCAAGCGGCTGGCCCCATCTGTAAGGGAGGATATCAGAGGCGGAGGGACTGGAGGAGACGGCGGCGGTGGCGGAGGAGGCGGCGGCGCTTCGATCAGTCGGCGAAGGAAGAGAAGACCAGCGAGATTATTTATTTTTGTACTACATTTGCGATTATTATTGTATACATCCCGGATCCTGGATCCCGCTGGCTTTAGAAATTAGAAATGACGACGACGGAATCCTCAACAGATCCAACAACAACAACTAGTCTCAGTCATGCCGCCTCTCTTCTCCGCGCCGGCGCTCCACCGCCGCCGCCTTCTCCGCCACGCCGCCGCATTCGCCCTTGTGCTCCTCGCCGTCGCCCTCCTCTTCCTCCTCCTCGTACACCCCCGCTCGCTCGGCACCCCTTCCCCTTCCCCGTCCTACGGCCACCGCCTCCCCACGCTCGTCGACCTCACCCTAGTCCACGGCGCCAAGGAGAAGGGCGCTGTCTGCCTCGACGGGACCCCGCCTGGGTACCACTGGCTGCCAGGCTTCGGCGACGGATCTAACAAATGGCTCCTCCACCTAGAGGGCGGGAGCTGGTGCAGGAATCGCACGTCCTGTGATCATCGCAAGAAAACCAGTCTTGGCTCATCTGCTTACATGGAAACCCGGGTCGAGTTCGTCGGCATCCTGAGCGACGACAAGGCCCAGAACCCAGGTCAAATCCAATCGCTCTCTCTCACCTCTTTGCACTTCTACTTACTACTACTTGCTATTGGAGTACTTCACTTCACACATACATAGTGATGCAGATTTTTACAACTGGAACAAGGTCAAGATCAGGTATTGTGATGGTGCCTCCTTATCTGGAAATGTCCAAGATGAACACCAGGTTTATTTGCACCAACCAACCTCCTATTCCTATACACTGTACTAGTCACCATACCCTACACTCCCCACTTCACTTCACCACATTTTCTTACTTGTTCTACTGTACTGCGCCGTCATTCTCTACAGTATGGCGCCACTTTCTTCTTCAGAGGCCAGCGCATCTGGGAGGCCGTCATGGCTGAACTTCTACCCAAGGGTCTAGCCCGTGCTAAACAGGTTTCCTCTTCCTTCCAATTAAAATAGGATGCCCGATTATTATTCATACTCACTGCTAGAACCTTTTGACTTATGAATTACTAGTATCTTATTGTTTGTCGCAGTATTGGATCGGTCTGGCTGCTTTTACGCACCACACTAGAATATGTATTGATACAGGGAAAATAATTCACTTTCAGCATGAATGTTGTCTTCACTTGCAAAGCCCTGTCAATTATTGATCATGCTCACCTGATCGCCACAATATTCCTCTAAAATAATGTACTACAAGTGTTCCTCGTCATTTTTCTATATCTTGTACCTGTAGCTGACAACCAATCTCTTTAAGCCCTTATTGTGGATGATTTACACCCACTTTTATGATTTTTATGCTTTGATCTTTTGATCTCCTCATTTTAATGTGTTTCATATTATTTTAACCATTCATTTACAGTACTTGCAAGTTAGCGAAGGGATTTTTCCATAGCTATATCAAATGATTCATTCCTATGTTTGATGCAATAACTCAAAATGTTGCTGTGTTAATTTATTTCTTTTTATTTCCTACATTTGCAGGCTTTTCTTACAGGATGCTCTGCAGGTGGTCTATCCACATACATTCACTGTGATGATTTCCGTGCACTTTTACCAAAGGATTCTACTGTTAAGTGTCTTGCAGATGGTGGTTTTTTTCTTGACGTGTATGTGCTTGCTTTGATCTTGAGCACTGCAGTGTTTCAATATCCTCTTCCCTGTTTAAGTTTTCAACATGCAATTCACGCATTGCTTCATTATCCTTTCTTCTGGACTGCTGCTACTTCAGTATAAGCATCTGGGAATGCTAAGTTGTCAAGGGGTTTGATGTTGACAATTTGTCATGATTTTATTATATGTTAACTTTGGATGTGTAAAATGTTTACATTTAAAACCACATTGCCTGCTCACCTCAGGTGAATCAGCTGTGGACGAATAAGTTAGCTATGCATGTGTTTACTGCTGATCATCCAACAATGTGCCCAATAACCCATAATTCACACTTCCACTTTTGGGGTCAACATATTCATAGGATAGCTTATCACTTCTTCTGGGGCATTGGCCATTAGCAAAACACAAGTATAGCCAGCCCTTAAAACTTGCATTTTACTGTTCCTTTAACTTTTCTCATTACAGGGAAGACATTTCTGGGAGAAGGTATATGCGGGGCTTCTATAATGATGTTGCTCGTCAACAGGTCGCTGTCTGCACTTTTCTCTGCGTATACCCTTTTTTTGTTTTTTTTTAATTGTATGATTCTTATGTTTGCTGTTGATTTGTTGCAGGATTTGCGGAAACGGTTCCCTGGTTGTAGTTCAGATATGGAACCAGGGCAGGTAATCCTTTAGTTGTTTTTATGATACTGTTTCTTGTATTAATATCATCACCTTTTTTATTCAGTACTTTTCAAGCTGTTATGTGCTAAGTAGCAATCCTTAATCGTGCCTTGTAGTGCTTTTTCCCACAAGAAGTGGCGAAAGGCATCACCACCCCAATGTTTATTCTCAATCCAGCATATGATGTTTGGCAGGTACCATTATCCGTATCTGTTGGCAGGTTCCATGTTCTGTTAGCAGCTCCAATATTAGTGTGATAAAAAATTTGTTGTCCTTTTCAGGTAGAGCATGTCTTGACTCCAGACGGATCTGACCCTCAAAATCTGTGGCAAGATTGCAGAATGGATATTACCAAGTGTAATACGAAACAGCTTGAAATTCTACAAGGTTGTAATATGATAAACTCATGACATGTGCTCTACTGCTTCATGCCTTCTGGATGACTTTACCTTCCATCCGCTGTCACTTTGGCACCTTACCATCTCGAGAAATATTTTTTTCAGGTTTTAGAAAATCACTGCTTGATGCTATAAGTGAATTCAAGAAGAAAAGGGGCTGGGGCATGTTCATTGATTCATGCTTTATACATTGCCAATCCATGAAGTCTTTGGCTTGGCACTCCCCATCTGCTTCGAGAATAAACAATAAGGTAACACATGCGGAATGATATGATCTTGTTTATAGAACTATAGGTTGGCATGTCCCCCGTAGGATTTGAACTTACAGACTTTGGTGGTTAGATATTGCATCGTTTTAGAGTTTGATGGTGTAGTCTTATTGCAATGTCGTCATGGCTTCTGAATGCCAGCAAGATGTAGAATGCTGAAATCAAGTCTGATCAGAGGGTAGTACTTAACTTACTGGTTGTCGACCAATATTTATATTCTTTGCAGTCCTGCTGATTCATTTGCTTCTGCGATCAATGACATGTCATATACTCACATCTGCTTCAATTCTGGTGAACAGACTGTGGCTGAAGCGGTGGGCGACTGGTTCTTTGATCGGAGAGAGGTGAAGGAAATAGACTGTGAATATCCGTGCAACCCAACATGCTTCAATGTTGTTCTTGAACAACCCTATCAGGAAGGCTGACATGTGGTTCTTCGCCGTTGTAGTTTACCGATGATTTGAAGCAGAATATACCCACCCCTATGGGGCTCTCAGATACAGTATGTCCAGTTGAATGGGACACACACTAGTAGTAGTGCACCTCTTGAGGACCGTTCAAACATAGAAATATTGACAAGATCTTGCCGTGTTGATGCCTCTATCAGTTTGATGACATAGGCCCTGTTTGGATGCTTCAGGCTATTAAATAGCCCGAAGGATCCAAACAAGGCCATACTATATGGGTATGGCATGCCCAACTTGGCAGTGACCAGAGTGTGTTTGTCCTTGTTAGATGAAGCTGGAATGGAACGTAAGACTGGCAAGTACACCTGATGGCGTTGAGCCGGTTTTTCTTCCATTGGTTTGGTTGGGATTATGTCAAACATATGTGTTGCTGTCTGCTTGTCCTCTTGACAGGTAAGTTGTCCGGTCTAAGCACGCAATTTGTTGGAAGATTTGCACATACACTTGTTTCCTTTCCTCTGCCTCCACTAGCAAAGGTGACATATTTCTTTCTTTCTTTCAGTAAAATATTATTGTAGGTTGTTGTATTGTATACTATATTGCTCAATGATAGGAGGAAGCCTTGTAAATATCTTGTGTACTTGCCGGCTGCTATCGTAATCCGGAAATTGAAACTGCCCTTTCCCTAACTAATTGATGTGGAAGTGGAAGTGCGTGCGTGCGTCCGAGACCAACAGGTTGGTGGCACTCCACTCGACCTCTTCCTCTTCCAATTCCAATTCCAATTCTAAGCACTAGCACCACGTTCCTGAAGCCAAATTGACTGGTGAAGTTTTCCCTGAATCAACTTCCTATCCATCTTATGCATGGAAGGCTTGGCTAGCAGCCGCAGCAGTATCTTTGTTTGATCGGCTCATCAATCTTTCTGGTCAAATGATGGTAATGGAACGTGTAATAAGGAGGAAGGCTTCTTAATTTTTATAACACCGGAAAGGCACACAAGTAGGTACGGTCTATGAGCTTTAACGTGTTGCTTACACTGCATTGACACTTGGCGATTGCATTGCACATTGTGTATTGCAGTTTCTGTGTGAAACCGTCAAGTTTGTCCAGTAATTTAATTTTCAGGAGGAAATCTGTCTTGGTCATAAACTTAATTATACTACTCTACATGATACAAAAGCCAACGCCGGGAGACACATGCATGCTAGCTATCCCTGGTCATGGTACTAATTAGAGAAGTAATTAGCGTTAAGTACAGTACAGTACAGGTGAGGTGGGTGATAGACTCACCTGCTGATTTGTAGGGAAACATTAAGATATATAGTACCTCTATGGAGATCTCATAGCTTTGGTAGTACTAGTACAATGTTTGTGCAACCATGCACATCCACTGGTGTTGGCCTTGTTATACTACTGCAGTATTTAGTGTAGTTGAGTATGAGTTTGATAATCGTACAATAAATAGGGAGTAAATATTATTTACCATGACAAGCCAAAAACAAGTATATACTACAAATTGAATGCAACACAAGACAATACAAATGCAATCCAATCCCAATATCCAATTCCTGTTTGCTATAATGAATAACCTAGCTTGAGCTTGTGGGAGGATTGATTGATTACCCAAAGCTCTAGTGCTAGTAAGGTGTAACTGCACAAAAAATGAATAGAGGGAGGGTCATGTGTCACAAATAGCAGCAGCGGCGGCGACAGAAGAGAAGTCGTGGTCAGGCTTGTCGGCGAGCTCTCCTACGCTGCTGCCGTCCACCACCAATCTCCCGGAGCCGCGGCCTATCCTGGAAAACGACCCCATGGCCGACGAGAGCCCCCCCTTGAAGCTGCTGCTTCTGCTCCTCGACCGGCGGCGGCTGTTGGTCTTGTTGGAGTTGGTGGTGGCGACGACGAGGCGGGAGATGGTGGTGCGGCAGAAGGGGCAGGCGGGCGGGTGGAGGAGGAGGGTCTTGGGGTTGGGCTTGCTGTGGCAGCAGATGGCCAGCGTGCACGCCGCGCACATCTGGTGCCCGCACTCCTTCACCTCCATGCTGCACGCCTGCTCGAAGCAGATGTTGCACGCCTCCTCCTCATCCTCGCTCTCCTCCTCCTCGTCGCCGCCCTTGATGTTGATGTCGCTGCCGTGCAGGATCCTCTTCTCCCTCTCCCTGTTGGCCTCCATCAGCGCCGCCTCCAGAAGTGCCTTGGCGTCCGCCTCCAGCTCGCCGATGAACTTGAGCGGGGACGGCCACACTATGGGCTCCGCCGCCGCCGGGTTCAGCAGCGCCGCGCACGCCCTGTGCCCCCGCCTCATCGCCACCGCGTACGCGATCCGCCCCGCCGAGTCCCTCTGGAGCCGGTCCGCCCCCCAGGCCAGCAGCTCCCTGATGCACTCCATGCTGCCGGCGCGTGCCGCCAGGTGCAGAGCCGTGCTCCCGGGGAATCCGTAGACGGCGGTTGGCGCCGACACGATGGCGCCCTTGTCGAGCAGCAGGCGCACGCAGGACGCGCGGGCGTGCCTCGCAGCCAGGTGCAGCGGCGTGGCGCCCCGCTCGTCCCTCACGTTGACGAAGCGCGCGAAACCCCAGGAGGCGGCCACGGGGCCCTGCGCCTGCGCCGCGGCGCCGAGGATGGCCTGCAGGCACTCGGCGTGGCCGTAGTAGGCGGCGTGGTGGAGGCACGTCCTGGCGCGCGGCGAGTCGAAGGTCAGGACGTTGGCGCCGCCGCGGAGGAGCCTGACCACGCACTCGGTGTTGCCACGCATGGCCGCCACCATCAGCGGCGTCTGCTTCTTGCGGCTCAGGACGTCCACGTCGCCGTCGCGATCCAGCAACATGGACAGTACCTGGAGGCGGCCGTTGGCGGCGGCGATGTGAAGAGCGGTGAAGCGGTCGTAGACTGTGGCGCGGCGGGCGAGCGCGGGGTCGGCGGCGAGGAGGGCGGAGAGGGCGTGGATGTCGCCCAGCTGCGCCGCGCGGAACAGGTCGTACTCGTCGGTGTCGCGGCTGCAGCTCAGGCCGTGCCCCATAGGTAGGACAGGATAGGGCGGCGACGGCGCCGGCGCCGGTGGGCAGAGCAAGTGAGTGGAGGCTTCAGCTTGGAACGACCGGCTCCATCGCTCTCTGTTTATTTATACTCCAAATCTTTTCGCTCGTAGCATTCCTCAAACCACTTGCCTTCCTCAATTTAGTCTTCGCTTTCTACACTGATTTCTTCTTCAACTACCATGCGTGCCTTTTTGTAATAATAAATATTAATTAATAAAGGCGTTAAGTCTATTTAACATTCACCCTTTTTTCTTCCGGTAGTTAGGATTGTTTCCAGACTTATGAACGTATATTCTCAAAACGGACATTTTCCCACAAGAATTTCTAGCTTCGTCATACTAGTAGAAATTCTAACGAGTCTATAAAAACATGTGTGTTCACATACATTAGTGGTGTTACAATAATTCTGGGGAGGTAAACTTTGGAACCTACTCCGGTGACACCAATTGAATTGGCATCATGCGCCAAAACAGGTCGGAAAAGTCGCTATTCATTATTTCAAAAAAAAAATCGCTATTCAGACAGGAACACTACTGTATATAACATCGTATCCACTTTTTTTTTTTGAAACCGAACATCGTATCCACTTATAATTGCTACTAGAAATTAAAACATTGCAGCCACTGAAATAGTACTGTATGATTTTTGAGGGAGCCTGGGAGAGTTTATCCAGTTTTAACCTTAATTTGATTGCAATCTTGGCCGCGCAGCTGCCTTTTACCCTTTTCTGACTTGTCAACGTGGATGTGACCTTTATTCTAAACAGTTAGGCCAGCTCAAACTCATGTTCAAAACGAGCCGCGCCAGCCGATGAGCTCGTTTAAGATCATTACATCTTTTTAAGTACTACTATGTCTTAATTAATGCTTAAGTCCATCAAAGTACTGTCTATATATCTGATGGTATATAATTACTACTAGTGCCTTAGTACTAAGTAATACTACTAATTGTTTTGTTAAAATATGATAAAGTTGGAGTATATTGTACAGGGGATGCAACAATCATGCAAACAAGCGGTTGTTAATTAATGAGCTAGCTAACCCCTTAATTAATTATAACACGGATCAAACATGCGATCTGAGACGACCGTGTTGATTTTCTTAAAATAAGAAACAAACTGGTTGTCGGTGCACGCTTGGCATCACCGGCTTGATTAATTATGCACCGCACGCAGTTTTGTACAAGGTTGTGTTTGGTACACTTTCAACTTCAACCATATTTACCTTGGGTTTCTCTAGCTTACTATTGGTACACTATTGCGTGGGCCATTTTCTATTCAAAATTCAGGTTTAAATCGAGACTCTATTTCTACTAGTCTACAAGCTCCATTTCCCATGAAAATACAGTACTCCATCCATTTCAAATTATTTATCGTTTTAGGTTTCTTTTATGTCAAACATTTCAAACTTTACCTATCAGTTTCTATAAACTTATATAGTTTAGTACCATAAGATATACTCCCTCCGTAAAAAAAACTCAACTTCTAGAGTATGAATTTTGTCCTACCTACTCTCAGTGTGTAAAACGAGAAGTTTTATTTCTTCAATACCCTTTACCTACCTATCACTTTTACTATTTTTTTCAATAAGAGCATTTTAGTCCTTCTTCATCTCCACTAATTCCACCTTGGGATGCTAGCTCTTTTGTGGGATGGAGGGAGTATATTCTTGATTCATGATACTTTAATAATACTCTCTCCGTCCTAAAATAAGCACAGCCATAAGTTTTCGTATCCAACTTTGATCGTCCGGTTTATTTGAATTTTTTTTTGAAAAAACTAAAAAGCATAAGTCACGCATAAAGTACTATTTATATTTTATAATCTAGTAACAATAAAAATACTAATCATAAAAAAAATTAAATAAGACAAATTTACATGTTTCTTAGAACTACACGGATTTCTAAAAATTAATGGTAAACATAGACATGTTTGACTTAGAATGATAGTTCTAAGTGTTATATTGAGGTTCTGTTTATTTCCCACGCAAAAACTTTTCACCATGTCACATCAAATATTTGGACACATTCATGGAGTATTAAATATAGAAAAAAAAACTAATCGCATAGATTGCGTGTAAAATGTGAGACGAATCTTTTAAGCCTAATTGATCCATGATTTGACAATGTGGTGCTACAGCAAACATTTGCTAATGGTAGCTTAATTAGGCTTAATAAATTTGTCTAGGTGAAATCTATAATTTGTTTTGTTATTGGTCTACGTTTAATATTTTAAATATGTGTCCATATATCCAATGTGATAAGCCAAAACTTTTCACCCCTGGATCTAAACCCAGCGTGAGTAAACGATCCACTTGAGAAATGTCACCATTCACCTGATTGATCGATGTGTTATTGAGTAAATAACTGTGCATGAAGAGAGACTTCTGAACATCCTTAATAATTGTTCCAACTTGGAGCATAACACTATAAGCTGCTAATGGCACTGCATATCTGCGATTAATGACTGGGTGTAGCTAGTTCTTCTGAATTGAAGAAGAATTGACTCACCAAAACATTTTGTTGCCTGCTAATTAACGTCGCAGTCGCAGGAACAATAGCTAATTAACAATAGGCTTAATTTTCGCGAACGCAACAATAAGCTTAATTAAGTATCAAATTATTCAATTAGAAAAGTATTACTTAAATTCTCTATCATGACTAGTACTAGTTTTCATTTGTTCAAACCACGCATATATACGTGCTGTCTTTTACGGTATAGGAGTACTATAGATCAACTAGTACTAGTATAAATATGGATGAAATCTAGAACCGAAAGTAAGCATAATAATCCCTTTCAAAGGAACAAATATAATCGTGCGTACGCATCGAATTAATTCTGGCTCTTAGGTCACTTGTGTGCACATATATAGATGCGTTTTTGTCGATGGATCGGAGCATTTTGCATGTGTAGTTTTCATGCATTTATTCAGTTTGTTTTTACTCGCACACTGCATCTGCATCCCATTTGGCGACTAGCATGTATTTATACAGTAAATTGCTATTCATCTCGATCTTTTACTAGTAGTAGTTTGTAATTGATGTGATGTCTGCTAACCTACACCAAATTAGTTTTAATAATTGTAACACTGAATATATTTTGATAATTTGTTTGTTTTATGTTAAAAATATTAATATATTTTTTATAAACTTGGTCGAACTTAAAAAAAATTAACTAGAAAAAATCAAAACGACTTATAATATTAAATGGAGGGAGTAGTATTTTGTACTGCCATGGATATATGGAGTAATTAATTAAACTGATGAACAAGCTGGCAGTGAAATGATTTCGACTGTATGTATGCGTATATAAGTTTTTCTGAATTACAGTACAGGGCTTAAATTCAGTTTCTTGACGCAACATACTACCAGATGCATCTGTTTGTATGTGAAGAAGGCAGATAGTTAGCTAGTCGCCTTGCTGTACAGGGTGAAAGGTCATTGTACTCTTGTTTTTAACATGACACCTAGCTAGCTAAGCTAATATCCTTCCATTGCACACACATGGCCTGGATGAATGAATGAATGTAATAGACCAAGTAGCTAATGCATGTGATGGCCAGTTTTCATTTTAAACATAAGACGCGTATCGATCAATCGATCACAGCAGGCATAAGCAGAGTAGTTGCATCTAAGATCCAACTTCTAAGGACTCTTAATAATACTCATACTGGTCATCAGTTTTACTTTATTAATTGTTGCTGCTTTGACTCAAGAAAGGACGATTAAAAGAAAATACTGATATTATAGTATGGATGCGACGATGACGTAGCGCTCTACGTGTTAATGACTAGCAATTTCGTTTTTCGTCAGCGGGCGATAGATCAACAAGTGCAGAAATACTAGAACAATGCAAGTTGACAGTATATACGCAGTCATGACAGTTACAAGTTAACCTATTAGTAATTGGAGTAGCTTGCTTGATCTTCATTCTTCGCCTGCAGCCTTTTGGATCGCTTTCAGAGGTTTCAGAGTTTGAGACTGAATCTTTGATGGTGTAGGTGATAGATGCTGCCCGGCGACAGGTTAGGCAATCAGCATTCGACATGCATGTAATTATCATTGAATTGTATAGTTGAAAGTAACACAAGCTGCTAGCAGTACCAGCTAATTTCAGCTGATTATATGGGCTCATTTACAGTCTGGACTATATATACTCATTTTTAGTCCGGATAGTGAACTCTGAACATGCATATAAAATGAAGAAGGGGGGAAAAAATACTGACTAGAGTTTTATACCGTTCTTTTTCTCCAGAAATTAAGACCTTGCTTTAGTAGTTCTGTTGTGTAGTATTCATATATAGTTAGATCCAATTACTCAAGATACGTTGAGACATCATCTATAAAAGAAGAGCACTGTTATTTCTAATCGTAGCCGATGGATCACTTGTATGTTTAATCGTAGCCATAATAAAAAATATAGTTGTATGTTAACCGTTCTATATTGATTGCAGATTAATATGTATCTTTAATTTTATACTGTTTTCAAGTGTTTTTAATTAGAAGGTTTATAAGGTCGGGACTTAGAAGGAAACTGTCCCTGTAGCGTCTTTGGGTGCAGTGCTGTTTAGAGAGAGGATGGACAATGTTGTTTGGTTCGAGATATTAGCCTTCAGTAATAGGAGTAGCAATATTAGTAGGAGTAAAAAAAAAAAATACTCCGATGACTTGAACAGGGACGGACCTATGATCGGCCTAAGGACCGAGCCAGCCCATGAAGACTTAGACCTTGTATGCTGTTTACATTAGGCCTATTGGGCCGAACGAGACGACGTATGATCATGTTTTGGGCCTCCTTTTTGGAGAAGGGAAGGCCCACATATAGATGTGGTGGTCGTCTTGTTGGTGGTGACAGGTCCTAACCTAGTAACCCTACACTGTCACAAAATTCACAATCGATCGAGGGATCCCAGGCGACGGAGCTCCGGCGAGCTCCGGCGGGCGTCGGCGTCGGCGTCGGCGGCAGTTAGGGCGAGGCTATCTAGGGCATCAGAGATCCGGGATGGCGGTCCAGGTCCAGGAGTCGAAGCGGGTGGGGAGGCAGCTGCCCCCTCACCGGCCACCGCGATCCGTCTCCCTCGCCGCTTCCATTTCCTTCTCCTCCGCCCGCAAGCCTCCCGAGCCGCTCCGCCGCGCCGTCGCCGACTGCCTCTCTCCTCCCGCTCCCCACACCCACACCCATGCCCCGCCACCCGCCGCTTCCTCTGCCCCCGCCGAGGCCTCCAGAACCCTCCGGGTAATAATAACAACTACTCCCCCTCTCTCTCTCTCTCTCTCTCCACCCTTCTTCTTACTTTTAATCTTCTGCTGTTCCTGCTGCCAGGATTATATCGCCAACCCATCAACCATCGATATGGCTTACAATGTCCTCATCGACCATGCTCTTGCTGAAAGAGATCGTAGGTATGCTTTCACCCTTCTTCCTTTCCTTTTTTATTTAATTTAATGCTTCTATCTATTCCCTTACAATATCCGCCTCGTTTCTTTTCAACCAGCCCCGCAGTTGTCCCTAAATGTGTCTCCTTGTTAAAGACTTATCTTATCAGGTAAGCTCATTCTCATTTCTCACTCTCTCTCTCTTCTAATTCTTCACACCTAAAACACTGAAACACTTTATTCACTCTTTAATCAGGTACACCCCAAGGGTGCAAACTCTACGCCAAATCGATCTCTTTTGCGCAAATACCATAGCAAAATGCGAACCATTGGGAACTCAGAGATCATCATCAGCTTCGCCACATTCCTCTGTTGCTGCTCCACCAATAACCAACTTTGCTTCACCATCTCTTGTCAAGTCTTTGAACTACGTCCGCTCATTAGTTGCCAGGCATATCCCAAAGTTGTCCTTCCAACCCATTGGCCACTCTGTTGCACCAACCTCTACAAAACAATCCCTCCCCTCACTTTCTTCCTTTTTCAACAAGTCCTTAGTTTCTCAGTTGACTCCAGAAGCTATTACCAACATGGATCTTGTTGAATCAAAGGAATCACATGCCCCTTCAGATTTAATATCATCAGCAACTGAAAAAGCTGATGGGGGAGAGCCTGCCGATGATACCAAATATATATCCTTTGACATTTTAAACTGGCGATGGCATGTATATGGTGAAAGACAAGCATCGGCTTCTACCAAAGAAAGGTACTTCTTTTGTGCTTATTACTTGGTTTGATTAGGTTGACTGGAATGTTTCCCTCTACTAGTTCCCTTGTGAAAATAGACCACACCGACTAATAAAAAAAAATATACAGATTTAAGAACACTGACTTCTTCCTTTATCAGCAGCAATGATTTTGCGGACCTTCAAGATTTTCATACACAGGGTTTTCTTGAAGTTGGTGCTGCAGCTCTTCTAGTTGGAGATATGGAGGCGAAGATTAATGATCAACAATGGAAATATTCTTTTATCCAGGACTTTCCTGATATTGATCTGTTGCAACCTTCAACTTCTACAGCAAGTACTTTTGCATCATCACAGAGTCACTTGAAAGCAATAACTGCCTCAAAACGCATGAAATCAGGCCCTAATCAAGTTTGGTAGGTTTTTTAAAGTGATGTATAGATGTCTCTGCATCAGTTTGCATGAAACATATTCACACTGCTTTACATTCTATTTTCATTTCTTTTTTTTTTCTTGAAAAGAAGACCCCTTGACATATCGATGCTCTTCAAGAATTTACCCTGGAAAATTTGCTGAACGTTTCTGGTTGTAATTATAATTCTTTTTGGGATTATTGCTTTTGACACCAGTGGTGTATACTAATTGTTTTATGTATATGTCCTTATGAGTAAAATCGTCATCACTAAACCAGTTATTGGACATAATGTTTATGTTTTTTTTGAAATCAACGATAAATGACAATTTCTTATCTATGGGACCATCTACTTCTTATGTAGGATGAACATACCTGCAAATACTTTCCAGCCTCGAGCACGTCCCCTTTTTCAGTATAGGCACTACAGGTACTTTTCTTGTTTCATTTATTCACTCTACATAATCCAGGGCAGCATTTGAAATGCTTATATAAGGCCGGTTTCAGTGTTGCATTACAGAAATTGAACTGTAAGTGTTTATATTACAGACATACAGATTGATGTAGACAATGAAAAGAAGAAACAACCAGTGCTTAATTGACAAACCTATGGAGACACAAATTATATTTTGTCAAATGATTCTCTCTCTCTCTCTCTCTCTCTCTCGCTGCCCCTATATCAATTTGCCATATTAATTGTAGATGATATGATGTTCTTCTATAAATCAACAGTACTCGTTTGAGATATATATAACTGTTCTTGAATATGAGTTTTGTCTCTTTATCTATTTTTTATGGTCATGTTTAACAATGCGCTTGAATGTCTTGCTTATTGTGTTACCCACTTTTACCAGTGAGCAGCAACCTTTAAAATTGAACCCTGCCGAAATTTCCGAAGTCATAGCTGAAGTTTGCTCAGAAACAACTTCAAACTCAAATCAGTTCAGTGCTCCATCAAGATTGACCACCCAGAGTCGCCAACCTTCAGCAGATGTGGCATTCAGTGTCCTTATCAAACTTGTTATCGACATGTAAATAACATTACACCCTATTCATTTCATTTTGTTTTGTTTCATTGTCCTCCATTCACACACCTGTAAATGTTCGTGATGTATTTCATTTACACTGGAATCCTTGATAGTGTGGCTGCGTAGTTTCTTTTAGGGCTTTTACTGATAGCTCAATTGTTGGCACCATTACTTATTCTTATATCATGTCTCAATGAATCATTTATTACCTGAATAAAATATTTTTATAGTTGAGGCAGCATTTAGAGTATAAAACACATACTTGTATCTCGCTCCCATTGAATTAGTAGTTCAAGTAATTAATTGCTGTTCCTTTGTGTACATAGTAATGTTGTGAGCTACTTCAGGAGATACACAGTGTAGATATCGATATTTCTGAGTAAATATGAACACATCTCAGTTAAAATAGTTGAGATTATCTTGATCCTGCCCAACTCTTACTGTAAGCCTGATGTAGCCTCTTTTTTCCCCTACAGCCTTTGAAACCATTTATTTAAATCCCTTTACCAATTTGCGAAGTTTCTGCTGTGCAGATATCTTTTTCATGTATCTTATGCTGTGCATATTCTCTGAGGGCTTAAATGATTTCCTTTATTTTCTTTGGTCCAGGTATATGATGGACTCGGAGGCCGCTGCCCCTCTAACACTATATATGCTTGAGGTGTTCTACTTTGCATGACAGTTAGACAGTGGCCCGAAAGGGATTGTGTGATTATATCACTAACATTTATATGCTTTTTAGGGTATGTTGAGCTCTCAAAAATCTCCTGCCAGGACAAAGGCATTTGATCTGATACTAAACCTTGGGATTCATGCACACCTGCTGGAGCCTATGATAGTTGAGAATGCACCACTTATTGAGAAAAGTGAAACTGTGAATCATTCTTATATGAACAACGAATATGGATCAAGTATGGATGAACAGAGGGCTACAGAATCTGAACAAGAGCAGAGGGTTAGTCCTGCTATTGATCAGTTTGAGTCGTGGCTTCTGAAAATAATGTTTGAGGTTCTTCTTCTCCTTGTTCAGGTGATTGTCACTCGATAGAATATTGATTTTATCATATACTCCCTCCGTATTTTAATGTATGACGCCGTTGACTTTTCGACCAACGTTTGACCATTCGTTTTATTCAAAATTTTTGTGCAAATATGAAAATATTTATGTCATGCTTAAAGAACATTTGATGACAAATCAAGTCACAATAAAATAAATGATAATTACATAATTTTTTTGAATAAGACGAATGGTCAAATGTTAGACAAAAAGTCAACGGCGTCATACATTAAAATATGAAGGTAGTATTAAGCTACTTCAAATTGAGTCTACTTTTATGCCCAAGTAATTTGCAACTGATGATTATGTGATGGTGCTTCTACCAGTTTGCTTCCTATGGAAACTGGTTAACTCTGAGTGAATTGATTATTTGTTGTTCTGTTCCATTTGTCTTTATGTTTTTCTACGGGATGCTCAATTTTGTAGTATGCTGATACATATCACATGTGGCTCTGTTTGCTATTCTTGGTTTCGTAGATGGAGGAGCGGCAAGAGATTGTATGGGCATCAGCTTTGAGCTGTCTATTTTATTTTGTATGTGATGGAGGAAAAATCATTAGGAGTAGACTTGGAGGTCTGGACATAAGGGTAAGAAAACATACTTTCTTCAAAATTTCTCTCTCTTGACTAGCAGCATTTTCTTAGTCCAATTACTCACATGCCTTTTAGGTTATGTAAAAATGTGGATTACTGTTTGTTAATCTTGGAGTTGCAAAAGCAAATGTATGAACACATATGCTATGTAGTTTCAACTAATTTCTGTCAGTAAATTATCTCTTTTTGAGGAGGATATAACTATTTGCATCTTTTTTTACCATATATAGGTAATCAAGACTCTTCTTGAGATAAGTGTGGAGCATTCGTGGGCAAAAGTAGTGCACAGCAAACTTATTTGCATGCTGACAAATATGTTGTATCAAGTATCTGATGGAGCTCCAAACGGTGCCATTGATACACATTTTCTTCCTGACCAGATAGATCGCGTTGGTGGAGTTGACTATATCTGTCTCGAGGTTAGTTTTATACTCTTTTCCTATGTGTAGATGGCCTATGCTGCTTTATATATGGCTTTTTGATTAGCGAGCTTTCTGTCTATTTGACTGGATATTCTACTATTAGTGTCTTAGTTGTGCACAAATTACTACTCCCTCCGTCCCAAAATATAACTACTTCTAGCCTTCAAACTTGTCCCAAAATATAGCAACTTCTCTACCTACATCTCTTCTCAACCAATCACAGTCTTCCACCATTCAAATTTCCTGCATATCTCTTCTCAACCAATCACAACCTTCCACCATTTTTTAATTCCAGCAACTTTCTTAATACCCATGTCCAACCCTAACACTTTATATTTTGGGACGGAGGTAGTAGTAAACAGTAAGAAGCAAGGAATCATAATTGATTTATGGGCCTGCCAATGGTCTGCGCTCTCTCTCGAACCTACATGTCTTTATGAAACAATAATTCAGCTCAATATCCCTTTCTAATAATCATGATAGTATTGTTCTCGGACTTCATTAAGAGGTTTATGTTTGTGGTGTTTTTCATTCAGTTGCATCACTACATTTTATGCAGAGTCATTAACAAAGAGATGTTTATGCATATACCTTTTCATTTGCAGTATTCACGAGCCAACTCAAGGGAGGAGAAGCGGGATTTGTTCTTTGTTCTATTTGACTATGTATTGCATCAAATAAATGAAACATTCTTGGCTGGCGGCCTTTCGACCTACACTTATGATGATGCTCAGCCCCTTGCTTCCCTTCTTGCATGTGCTGATGCTCCAGAGGCCTTCTATATTTCTGTGAAGCACGGTGTTGAAGGCGTTGGAGACATGCTGAGAAAAGCTATATCATCAGCTTTGTCACAGTCAACAGAATATGAGCAGTTGAATGTGGTATTATGCTTTTGACTTGTGTGTTACTAATATATGTTGCACGCTTAAGAAGCTAAGAGTAGACATTACAACACTTTTGTTGAGTTTCTATTTCATGTCACTAAACCACAAATATGCACAATTGTGTGTAATGGGAAACTGTATCCACAATCTTCATAGCTTCTAAAATCAACTCTATTATGTGATTTCAACAAATAATGATCCATATACATGCACAATTGCACCTAAAAAGCAACAGTTGATGCCAACAAATAAAATCCCCATGCTATTTGTATTACCTGGTATTGCAGATTGCTGCTATGCACGTTTCTTCTGTTTGTTGGACTTCATTTGTGTAATTGACACGACAATGCAATATACTTCTCTTCTGTATATTAATATTGTAGTATGTTAATGTTTTCTTCTGTATAAAGTAAGGATGTTTTATTCTGTATAAAGTAAGGACTAGGGACAGTGTTGGCGACGAACTTGAAGCAGCACATTATTTTTTTAAAAAAAAAATCTATTTATGTGTTTATTCTGATTGATTCTCAATATTTGTAGCTTCTGGACAAGGTTATCAGGAAACTTGATGGAACAGTCAGCACATTTTCTAGGATTGACACTGAGTTTGCTTATATGATCCAAGTAACAAAATCTTACAAGTGTTTCAGCAGCATTAGAGATGGACATGAAGATGCTGATGTTGCACTTAGAGCAAGGCTTTGCTGGGCTACTTTGCACTCACTTCTTAACTCGCAGATTTCATCATATAGGCATCATGGATATATTTGGTTAGTTGAATTGCTCCTTTCAGAAATCAGTGAGGAAACAGATGGTTCTATATGGTCTAAAATCCAAAAGCTCCAAGACGAAATTGAAGTTGCCGGAAGCCAAGATTTGTCATCCTCAGAAGTTTCATTGCCTGTTTGTCTGCTATGTGGGCTTCTGAAGTCAAAACATAACTTCATTAGATGGGGATTTCTATATGTTCTGGACAAATTTTTGATGCGTTGCAAATTATTATTAGATGACAATGACATGCAAGAGCACACAGTTGCTGATCATAGCAAACATCGCCTGGACAAAGCTTTTGCGGTTATAGATATTATGAACAGTGCTTTGTTGCTTGTGGTCCAAAATAATGAGACAGACCATATTAACATCTTAAAGGTGATTACTTTCACATGAGTGCAATTGGCACTTATGGTACAAGCCATAATTGGTAGTGTATGTAGCAGTTTCCTCCTTAAAACTTAAGTGTTTTTCCCGGTACTTGGGAGGCACCAATAGGTACTGATACCACCTAATGTTAATCTTTTAAACCTCTTGGCACCTCCCAAGAATCCTTAGGAACTCAAGATAAAAAAGTTAACTTATAAAAGTTTGCAGAAGGGAATCAGTTTTTTTTAGACGTATGAGTAACATTATAATGCTTATTGATTATTTTGCTGTTCCATGTTATTGATTGCTGCTCATAAAGTTTGAATTTAGAATGGTCAAACCTCCTCCCGAGCTTGCAGTTTCTGTTTGTCAAGCTAGTACTTTTTTTTTTCTGTTGTTAGATGATTCCTAATTATATTCTTTCTTTCTTTTTTAAGTGGTGGCCATATTTTGTCAGTAGCATTTGGCAGCAACATACCTGCTCGGTTGATTAGCTTATTTTGCAGTTAAAATTAGATTCTTACAGCCAATATTCTGGCATATAAGAACTACTGAGAAGGATTTGGATGAAGAATCATGAAGATACAGCTAATCGTAACCAATCTAAAAATTTTTCAAGTTCAACTTTTGTTTTAAATAAAAATGAAATTAGCTAATTTTGTTTCTCCTCGCCCTTATTAACTGCTTAAAGTCAGTTACCTCTGTGGTGCCCTGTGGAATGAGCTGTTTAAACAAACTAGTATTATTGAGTTCTATCCTCTCTGATCTGTAGTTTCCTCATGCAGATGTGTGATATGTTGTTTTCTCAATTATGTCTGAGACTGCCATCTTCAAATGTGATGCATATGGGTGGGCTTCAATCCCTTGGTCAACTTTTTGGTTGTACAACTAAGAACATCGAGAGCCATCTGGAAACTCTTGCGTCGCATCAAAATGTTGGAAACAAGAACTTTTGCAGGAGTGAGACATTGCAAGACATAAGCGTAAATCAAACTGCTCAAACCACTTTACTCTCCGAGACATCAATGGCAGCACTACTTCTGAGAGGCCTTGCGATAGCTCCTATGCAGCTTGTAGCACGCGTACCAACTTCATTGTTTTTCTGGCCATTGATGCAACTTGAAGGGGCAGCTAGCGATGATATTGCATTGGGTATTGCTGTTGGTAGCACAGGTAGAGGCAATCTCCCTGGTGCTACGTCAGATATTCGAGCAGCGCTTCTTTTACTCTTGATTGGTAAATGCACAGCTGACCAGGAAGCTCTTAAGGAAGTAGAAGGCAATGAATTCTTCAGGTAATCTTTTCTATTCTACATAGATTAGTTACATAATGTGTTGTATGTGTAGCTAACACATGATGATGATGTTTGCCCCTTAATTAATCAACACCAACAGGGGTCTTCTAGATGATACAGACTCAAGGGTAGCATATTATTCTGCTGCTTTTCTCTTGAAGGTATGCCTATCACAATTGTTGATTGTTTGCTTATAGTTCTGGTCCACTTTGATTGATAAAAATTATATGCACAGAGAATGATGACAGAAGAGCCAGATACCTACCAACGGATGCTTCAAAGTCTCATCTCAAAAGCTCAACAGGTGGAGCCTCTTTTTTCCTATCTCATTATGGGGGTGAAATTTGAAGTATTACATGAATGCCATCCATATGCATCGGTTTATCTAGATTAGTTTCTGGTTTCACGCCAGGTGCTTCAAGTGTCGTAGGAGGTTTCATTTCATGCATATCTGATATCTCAATTATGTCGGTACTGACATGTTATTTACATTGTTGCCAGTGTAACAATGAAAAACTGCTGGAGAACCCATACCTTCAAATGCGTGGGATACTGCAGTTGTCAAACGATCTAGGAGTTCAATAATCACTCGAATGTGCTATTTCTGTGGATAGAAGCATGGGCTAGAATTGGTACTTTCAACTATGCTCATTGCAGTATAATAATCTGTGGCTGTGTTCCTCTGCTCCAAACTATGAAAAGGTGTGTGCAGCTAAACTTCATCACAAACTAGCTTCTGGCTGCAGTTCCTGTGAATTTGCATAACACCTTTTGGATGACCTCTCACCACTTTTATCTTACATATGGAAATTCACATTATTTCTTCAGTGCTTTGCAATGTTAGTGGAAATAAGAAATAAGATGCACACATGTCCTGTTTAGGCCGAACATTTATTGACACATGTCCAGTCTGTCAATACTTTTTACATACTGCAGCACAATGCTTCTTCAATCCTTGCAGTGGATTTTGGAGATAAACAACCTGTTTTAACTGCCCCATATATTGATATTGACATATTGTATCTGCAGTTGACTTGCCTGTGTTGATCTGCTTGTATTAGAACCGTAGAACTTGGCATGGTGTACTTTATGAGGTTACTAATGGTTTTGAAAATAACTACAGATATTAGTGCAAGTGCATGGTGTAAATTCCTTCGTCCGGATGCATGCACATGCCTCTGAAGTTCTTAATTGTTTATTATAGGATCTGAATCACCTGTCACCTGCAAGCTGATTACAGGATCTAAGCGTTGTGGCTACCTCAATGAAGTATGACTAAGTTTGGGCGAGGTGCGCATAAATGCGACTCTGCAATTTTGTAGCCAACCATTAAGATTGAGCCAGCGCAAGTTTTTGAGAGGGATGCTGGGATCAATAATAGTATGTGTGTTTATTTGCAGCGTTGTTCCAACGAAAGTAACAAGGGTGTACATGTTTGCATGCTAGTGTTATTTGCTACCTGGAAGAAACCAAACCTTGCAGATATCAGTGAACTTCCAGACAACTTATTATTGTTTTCTTCTTTTTTTTTGGAAAAATTAACTTGTGATTCTTAGATTCGTATTGAGAGTTAACATTGTAAATGCGTAGGGTGAAACAGAAAAATTTTGCTTATGGTAATTGAATAGTACATCTCCTGTACAATATGGAGTGTAAAATTTACTGCTACCATTTTGTTAGTTGCTAGTATTATGCACACGTGTCGCACTTTTTGAGATATATTTGATCATTCGTCTAATTAAAAAAATTGTAATTAATACTTATTTTGTTGTGGCTTGATTTATCATTAACATTTCTTTAAGAATGACTTATATTTTTGTTTGTTTGTAAAAAATATTGAATAAGACGAATGGTCAAATGTATGAAAAAGTCAACGGCAATATATATATATATATATATATATATATATATATATATATAGGACACTCATATGGGGCACCATGGTGCCCGGGCACCATGGTATCTAATGCACAAAATCACTCAAATTTTTCAAAATTTTCAAATTGTGAGTATATACCTAGTTATAATAATTTGATTTATACCTTTACTTATCAACAAAACAACTCAAATTTAACTTTATTTCACAATCCATGATTACATACCTAACAAATTATATGTATGGATGCTATATACCTAGAATCAAAATCTAACAAAAACAAGTTCAAATTCAGTTCAAACTTGCTTTAAACTAGTTAGTAAAGTAGTTAATGTTAATACCTAAGTAATTGAAAAAGTTTCATACTAATTTGAATTGGGTATATACTCAATTTCAACAATGGTGCCCGGGCACCATGGAGCACCAAACAAATTTACTATATATATATATATATATATATATATATATATATATATTAAAAAAAGGAGGTATTTCATGAATGTCAGTTTGGATGAAATCGTAGGAAAAACATATGAATCAAATGAGAGATACAGTCAAAGAAAATTTTCCAATAAGTTAAACTTATTCAAACTTCCCTTCACATTCTCCTTGTATCGAGCCATCCTAAATGGTTTTCACATGAGACAGTTTATTTTCTTCAAATTTTTGTTAAATTCCTCTGTTTCGAAGAAGGCATCAAATGGTGTCCAATTTTATTTCAAAGGGCTATCTTAGAAGAGAGGGGAAAGAATTCCTATATGATTCAACTCATACAAGCATCCTCTATAAATTATCCTTTGCTCCAGGGAGGTAGCACAAGCAGCAATGGTCAGGGTGCATTCCCTTTGCCTGTCCAACAGGGATCCCCTGTAATACTGCAGAGGCAGTAGCAACCGTTATACCGCAGAGGATATGCATCATCAATACCTGTCTGGCGCTGAACTTTTGCGTGTAGTAATTCAGTTTCTCAATATTAGGCTCAGCTTGTTTCACTTTTTTTTGAGATCGAGGTTACAGAAGTATATAAGCAGCCAAGTTAATATGAATTAATAAGATGGTAGGATTAGAATTACGTACTCTCTCGATCATATATAGCCTCTGCTTGCATGCAGCAGGAGTATAGTATATAGTTAAGACAAAGAAAATGTATATAAATAAGATTTTGCGATTAAGTAAGGAATTTTATTTAGGGGCCAGGCGGCAACATGACATACATGAGACGCTAAGGTAGGTAGCTAGCTAGCTAGCAGCAAATTAAGGACTTGCATGCAAGCTAGGTAGCTAGTACATGGCATATGTAGTGGTACTGGTAGCTCGTTGATCAGGTGATGAATTGGATGGAGATAAGTTTCTTCTAGTTGCAGTTGCAGCAGGAGCAGCCGCAGCTGGTGCCGCACTTGCAGGTGTTGCAGCCGCAGCTGCCGTTCTCCGCCCCCATCTCTGATCCTCCGGAAGCAGCACCAGACCTGCAATCGATCATGCATTGCCCATGTAATGGATATATAGTGTTCATACTTATATAAAATCTATCGATCGGAGTATGTATAATTAATCAAGCATGGGTATACGTACATACCCCTTGTTGGTTGCATCGGCAAGGAAGGTGGTCGTGGTCGTGGGTTCCACCTCAGAGTACTTGCATCTGCATATATCGATCGTCAAGTTTGAATTGCATCGATCGATCGATCTGCATGTAATATACGTACCCGCCGCAGCCGTTGCCGCACTGGCAGCTGGAGCCGCATCCGCAGTTGCCACCGCAGCACGACATGGTGATGATGATGAGAGCTTCTTCTTCCTTCTCTGGCCTTGTCGGCAACTAGCTGCTGCTTACTTGTATGGAGCTTCTCAGTTGCTGGCCTGAGGAGCAATGGCAACCGCACCCTGCCCTATTTATAGCCACCCACACTACACCCACGGATCATCAGTAGTGAATGCAATGCATACGCCCGCGCGAGAGAGATCGATGTAGGAGTAGCAAGCATCTAACTGCAGTTGCAGAATAATCAACAGTAGTAAAAAGAAGAAAAAACAATACTCAGTAGTAGCTAGATCGACCACTAGAATGGATGGGATTGGAGATGCCGCGCGCACTAGATAGCGATAGCAGCTGCCATGGAATGGAAATAAGGAACGGACGACATCATCCGAGGGACCACCATGCGTCTTATCTCATTTTGTCTCATCCATATATATATCTCTCCAGTTTTCTTCTTAATTTCTTCAATTAATTTCACAAATATTGCAACCGGAAAAACTAAATCTTTTAGTTGAACTAATTCTTGCTTCGACATGTAGTATTCAGTTCGATTTAATTTAATTTAATTTACGACGCTATATTATATACATACAGTTCGATTTGCAGTTTTTATTCGTCGAGACACCGACGGACGGATCGATCGATCGATCAAACATCAAAAGATATAAATTAGTAAAGGTGAATGAGTGGAGCATCTGTGGAGTGTCAATTCTTGTTCCCCCTCTATCTATGTAGATCTCTGTCAATGGCTACCCCTATGATATTGCAATTACTAGACGATCGTTTACTTTTACAAGGCGTATATTGATTACTAGCATGCAGCATGGGAGTATATATATGGCTGACCATCGCTCGCATCACCAAAAAGTTAAACTGCGAGCAGTGACGAGGCCGATGATAAGGATATGGAGAACGATCTCTCCTCCATTCTTTTCCTGCCCCAACATATATATTCCTCCTCATAACAACAAAGGCAACGCAACTTTGATTCCAACAGTTAAAGCATCACACAACAGGAGCAATTGATAGATACGTCTGCGACAATTATTGTCCATCACTAATCACGTACTGCTAAAGCTGAAATTAACACTACACACATAAAGCAGGGCCAGTCACATATACAAGAGCTGGAAAACGATCGATCCATCTCTTATTATTACTGCATTAAAATTTGCATATGCGTGGTTGCTAATACTATTTTTTTCCAACAAGTAAGAGTAGAGTGTTATTCTTCTTGGGGGCACAGATCAACAACAAGTAGTATGCAGACTTCAGGTAAGGTAATTGAGGAACTCTGCAGCGGTTGCGATGGCTCCCCCAGTGATGGCGTTCTTCACCACGTTCTGCCTGTGGCTGTTGCTCGCCGCAGACACCAGTGCTCCTGTTACGGCGCCTCCAACCATCGCGTTCTTCTGCTCAATTGCATACACACACATCCCAAGGAAATGCAAGTTAACATCCAGATCGATCGTGCACACTGCACAGACAGCAGCCAGTATATATTCATGAACAGATGAGTACATTTTCCAAAACTACAGATGCTTTAATCAAACTATCACAAAACTATATATTTAAGAGTGCGTCTGCCAGATTTAGTACTAAATTATCACCAAACTACAAATTTAACATCAATTTTATTATAAAACTGTAGCTTTTGTAACTTTCAGAAAAACAACAGGCTATTGATTTAAACTTTAAAATCTGTAGTTCTTTGATAAATTCATTACAAAATCTGTAGTTTCGTGGTACAAGTCATTAAATTTATAGTTTTGTGATGCACAACATTAAATTTGTAGCTTTGCGATAGTTTGGTCCAAGTATTTTGAGATTTACTCCGACCAAATTAATCAAACACCATATGCGTATATTACCTAGTCCCTGTGACCACGGATTCTTTCGATTCCATACTCCATGCCCACATATACACCCGCAATAGTACCTGAATATGTGTTTCTTCCATTGTTAGATTAACAAAAATACAACACATGCGCTTGAGTACGTTGACAGTAGTATTTTGTTAGTTTTGAGCAAAGCTGAGTTAATAGAAAATCAAGTACTCCCTCCGTTTCACAATGTAAGACTTTCTAGCATTGCTCATATACATATAGACGTTAATGAATCTAAACACATACATATGTCTAGATTCATTAACATCTAAATGAATATGGGCAATGCTAAAAAGTCTTACATTGTGAAACGGAGGAAGTAGGAGATTATATATGCAGATGAGTTGATTATTTAATTATACCCCAATATGCGCCTTCCTTGCAAATTTTCTTGAGCTGCATACATATAAATTCAGGAGCGCAAGATCAGCAGGAGTATAGCAGTATTAGGTGGGGAAACAGTAACTTCATTTCTGAAGAAACTGTCCTTGATGGAACAGCAGATAGAGAGAAAATGGAATAACGGATGCAAAGCTATGGAAATGTGAGTGTATTTATATATACTTACTGCACTCTCAACTTTGTGCTTTGAGACGTCCCCTGCAGAAAGAAACAGGTCAAAAGTCAAAATAGCATGGAGCACTAACTCTGAAAGTGCATTATTCAGTGGGTGAATTATATATTTGAAAAGGGGTAAAAGCTTATGTATTAATAGAGAAGGAGAGTGACAACATTAAAAACAAATATGGTGGGTAGAAATGATGGCCACAGGAGAGATTCATGTTGTCTCTGGTGTGTCTTTGTCCCTTTTGGATGAGAGAGAAATGAACACGATGATAGGGAAATTATATATGCAGCAGATGAAGTAAAGTTGAGACCTCTGTGAAGGCACTCGAAGGTCTCTTCGGCAGCGACCTTGCAAGCCCCAACCTGCATCGATTATTATTCGATTAAATAAAAGATAATACATAAGATGCAGAGATTAATTGAGAGAGAGAGAGAGAGAGAGAGAGAGAGAGAGATGTATTATGTACAGCGCCAATCTTGAGGAAGCCGTCGACGGTGCGGTTGAGGAAGGGATGGCCCATGTCGACGGCGAGGTCGAACCTCGGCGACGTCAGGCTGCCGGAGAAGCCGCTGTGAGCCATATGCTGTTCGTTGCTCGATCGATCTCGTCGTCTTCTATTGTGTATACAATCACAAATAATATAGCCAGCCAATTAAGTTGAAGCAGTCGCCAACTCCGGCATGCACTGCACACCTTCCGCCCGGGATCGCTTACCTCTTCAATTCCCTTCCTCTGCACTCTCTCTCTCTCTCTCTCTCTCTCTCTCTCGCATAGTCCATATCCCACGCAATTCTTTCTGTTTCTGGGCACACAAGTAGGAGTAATACGCAACACATGGGACTCCCATACACAACAAGATGGTTCACTCAGACAACAAAGTTTTCATGTATTTATGCATTCCTTGCTGGTTACCTTTGCGCAAGGGCACAAGAATGAAACATCACAATATCAAACAAAAACCGGCCTACACTGCCTCCCAAAAAAAAAAAACAAAAACAAATTAAGAAGATGCCCTACACAACTAACGGAGATTTACACATTTCCCCGTGCTTTTCTTGTTTTAATAATATCCGGGAATGCAGGAAACTTGGAAAACAAAACCAGAGACTATAATTCCACTATTCAAAAACTTGGTTCCCCTCTCTCCAAATGACCTCTTTCTAATCTCATTCTCAACCTGCGCTTTCCTCTCATTTTCTTCCTTTTTTCAAGAAATGCTACACTAATAGCAAATTCCTGTATCAGCGCTTCCCAATGGAGAAAGCTCCCCCGTGTTATTCCTGAGCAATCACAACAGTCTGCTAAGTGACTTGATAAGCAGCTTGATGTTCCGCCTTGTCGCGTCGTCACCGGTGAAACCAGAGATGTCTGAGCTGATACTCTGCGAAGTAACCAAGGACGGGTACAGCAAATACATTTCAGTCTGATGATCTGACTGAGAAATAACCAAAACTGACCTAAAGAAAGTTAAAAGAGTATATATATGCAAACCTCAATATTCTTCAGAGTAAAGATAAGGGTGAAAATAGACTGCTTAATAAGATCGGTGTTCTCAGGGGTAAGCATGGAAGACTTCAGCCTTCTGCAGGGTAGCACAAGAAAAGTTTATCATCACATTTATCTTTGGTACATTATATAATATGATGCAGTGTATATTTAGAGAGGTCTATTTGAATACTAGTATAATCTTGTAGACTCTTTCATAATAAGAAAGTCATAGCTTGATGGTTTATATCAAATTCTCCAATTTATATCATTACTTATCATGACTTACCTCAAGCAAGATGTTATAACTCATAGTTGTATAAATAATATGTATTAGGCCACAATGCTTTCCAGAAGTACCTTAAATCACCGGATGCATCAGCCAGACCTTTAGCTATAATCTCGACATCCTTCACCAGATCACTATCACGAACCTCAGAAAGCAGAGGTTGAATTTCTTCAGCTAATGCTTCAATCTGTTCCATCACTAACATTTAAATGGATGAGTACTACTATTCAGGAACATTTTTCGATTTTGCACCCAAAAAAAAAGGATTCGGCAGAGCTGCACATATGGAGGAAGTACCACCCACAACCTTTTTTTTTTCTTTCTCAAAAGCATGTGACATAAACAAGAAACCTAACAACATATCCCCCCTAAATGGAGGTCCCCTCTCTTGACAGTGCTACATGCATGCCAACCAGTGCAGCTATGTGATAGGACAAAAATTGACCATACCCTGGAACATTCAGTGGTCAACCAACGTCTGACTTAAGTATGGACAGGATGGATCATTTTTTTCTTGGTATATCATACACAAATAGATCATATACTTTGGTACACAACCAATTTGAACCATATACAAGACATAAAAAAAAAACATGCCAATAGTTGAGTTGTACATAAAGGCATGAAAACAAATGAATGAAGGCTGAAAATTTATTTGCAAGTAATAATCACGATAATTACATGATTTATGGCTTCATATGCATGATACATTGACATGTTAGGAAAAACTGTCAGGTATAAAGGATGAGACTCCAGTGGTACTAACTGCCAGAGTAACCACTCTTTTCAATATTTAAAAGGTACACAGGATCAGGAAACGCTGTTGCACTTCCAAGCATGGTTACGAAAATTTCACCATAGGGGTAAAGCATATGAACCATGAAATCTTATTGAGTGGCAGTGAGAAAAAAAATAGGTTGCAAAGAGATCTGATTAACTAAATAGGACAAATTATAAATATTTCTCCGGATATGGAAACTATATACAAAAGCAGAACGATGAGAAAAATGTACCCGTGAAAGAAGAGGCTGCGCTTCTTCCATTATTGATGCTACTTTTTCAGCCAACTTGTAGCTTTTGTGAACACCAATTTCCTCCATATCTCTTCCTAGACGAGTAAATATTCCAACCAGTGCGTCTAAGCTTACTCCTTGTTGTCCTTTCATCCTCTCTTTGTCACAGAGAATTAAACCTTCTTTGGAACAGTCTGGGTCAAGAGGACCAACTGAAGGTGTAGGGAGTGGATCTTTTGGTGTTATATCAATCAGTGTCTCCATTAGAAGACCAGACTGATTCACCTCAACCACTGAATTGCGGGGCACAATAATTTTATCATCTTCAACCTATCATACAAGAGATAGCAAATATTCAGCCCAGGGGGAATTATACAGTAAGAAATGCACATATGTAGACAATAGGCAAGACCAAAATGAAGGTGCTCTTGTTGCCCAACTTACTAAAAGGAGTGATGATTGAAAGGTAAACTCAACCTATTTGTGTAACTGGAAAGTATCCGTAAGAGAACCAATGAGCCCTGAAGCTTAGTGAAACAGCATAAATGCAAATTAATGACACATTGCATTGCACAAACTAAACCATGGATTCTTTTCAGAAAGTTGTTCTATGAATTAATAGGCATTTAGGGCAAAGTCAATGCAAAGTCTTGCTTTCAAATAAGTCGCACACCTGCAACACCAACTTTATATTGAAAATGTGAAGTCTGAGTAAGTGAGTAGTGGAAAACTCTAAGCATCTAAAAGGAGGACATGACCCCTCCCATCCATGAATCATGAATCATGACAAGTTACAATACCAGGAATTTGCTGTTCAGATTACCAGCTTAGGTAAATCGAGTGGCTACACAGCCAGGTTAAAATAAACTAGCCAGCAAGAGTAAAGATCTCAGCTTTTCCGAATGAACAAAATTTGAGCAACTAACTACTCTAGATCCAATATTTTTTTTAGAAAAAAAAAACTACTCTAGATGCAATTAATTTCAGCATCAGTAAGCAATGGCAATCTTCTTTAGAAGGAAATGGCATATATCTGCATAGAATTTGACATGCATGAAGCAGTCATTTGATTCTGATTGATTAGGTTAGCATCAAATTTCAGTTGATAATTAGAAAGAAGGCGAAGCAGTTAGCAAGAAAATGCGTTAAAATTAAACACAAGAATATGCATTGCCATTTTGACAAGTTACATGGTTTGAGTGCCAATTGTATGAGAGAGTAATATAAGTAAGGTGATAAGAAGTAGTCCTATGGTGCATGTACTAGATCTGCCATCTTCCATTTTGGTTTGTTGAAGGAATGCAAAAGGATGCATAAAAAAGGAAGAGGATGGTGTAAGTAGGGGGTACCTCAACATAAGCATCGATGCTCTTGAGGGAAGAGTCGACGCGGACGACGTTGCCGACGGTGACACCGCGGATGCGGACGGGGGTGCCGACGCAAATCCCGCAGGCCTGGGTGAACTCGAAGACGGCTTGGTACTTGCGGAAGCGGGCGCGGAGCTGGAATCCCCGGAGCCAGGCGAGGGCGAGGGCGAGCAGCGCGGCCCCGGAGACCATGAAGAGGCCGACGCCGCCCTCCCAGACGCTGCGCTTGCCGAAGCCGTAGTCACCCAGGGGGTGGAGCGTGCGGCGCCATAGCGCGAGGAGCGGGTTGCCGCCGCCCTCGGCCTCGGGTGTGGGAGAAGGGTCGCCCGAGGCGGAGGCGGAGCAGATAGCGAGGGAATTGCGGCGGCGGGGCCTGGGATTGGGAGTGGGAGCGAGGGTGGTGGGACGAGGGTTCGAAGAGAGGGCGATGAATGGGGGAGGGAGAAAGGATTTGGTGGTGGCCATGGCGATGATGACGAATTTAGTGGATGGATGAATAGGGGGATTGGAAGAGGCGATGCCGATGCGTCACCTTGGATGATTGAGCGGTTCCATCGTCGGCGATTGGAGGCGGCGGATCGGAGGTCTCCGGCGGCGGCGGCGGTGGCTGATGGCGATTCGATCCTCTTTGGCTGGACGCCCCTCCCCGTCTCGTCAACTAATCACATCACATCACCTCCACCACACACTCCTCCAAACCTTTACACAAGATTTCACATTATTTTTACTATTATTATTTTAGAAAATATTTCTTGGTGAAAGAAAATATACTGCTAACCTTGTGTATTAACTCATCTGTTCTAAAATAAATCAACTTTTGTATACAAATTTAGACATTATCAACGCTCTAGGAGCCATCGAATTTAGGTTTGTTCATTGCAAACCATCCAACCCAGCAACCAAAACCAAATCAGTACAAGCGGGTTACACTGGTTTTCTCGGTTATAGATCAAACATGTACGATTTGACAACGTGGTGGATTGAATAACGGTTTTAACCCACCGGCTATAGGTGCGGCGGAGGTGTTACTTTTAATCTCTCCGTTGTTATAGCAAGGTCGTCTCTTCTCCTCCAACAAAACAAGGACTATTTGTTATTGTCTCCGGTATAGTTACTGTTTGTTGCATCACCATGTGCACATGTTCCACGTGGTTTTTTTTCCCTCTTTGTTTTTGCTTGTGCCCATGCTTCACACTCTATATATATTATTACTCTACTTTTTTTAAAAAAAGAATGGTTATATATAATAGTATTACAATACTACCATACAATTCTACGATTTGATACTACTTTAAGGATACTGCCTAGAATCTTGATACTAACAACTTTGGTATTCCTAGCAATTCAAAACACAATATGACGGAGCGTGGGGCTCCTCACCGGGAGACCGCGCAGGCCCCCCTTTGCCGGTTCGGCCGGGGGCCCTGGGTGAGATTCTAAGCTCCTAGTCTGTGGAAAGTTCGCGAGAATGGAAAAAGCACAAGACACGGGCGATGTATACAGGTTCGGGCCGCTGAGAAGCGTAATACCCTACTCCTGTGTTCTGGTGGATCTGTGTATGAAGAAGCTACAAAGAGCTGGAGAGCCAGAGAGCTCTTATTCTAAAAACCCTCTTCTCCCTTTTTTTTTTCTCGTGGGATCTCCTCTCCAGATCATCCCCCCTTCCAGCCCCCTCTCTTAAGTGGGCAAGGTCCTCCTTTTATATCTCAAGGGGATACCACATGCACCACTTCTCCTTCTCTCTCTTTTTGGGTGGGGGCCCATCCTATCTATAGTAAAACTTGGCTTGCCTTCTCTTGGAAGCTGAAACACTGCCTGTTTTTGAGTGTGGCCACGCGTCCTCGTTCGTCTGACCTCGGGGATCACCCTGTCATCTCTTCATAAATGGGCGGAGATTTGCAACAGCTGCTGCCCGAGTGACCCTTCTGACGGGACGGCCCATACCTACCTCCACTCCGCCGGAAGCAGGTGCAACGTGGGAACACGGTTGTCTTCCGGCGACATAACCAGTGTCAGACCAGTCACAGACCGGTCACCTTTGTCCACCACGTGTCAGTTTAGCAATCTGCATGTTCGCCCTTCTTCATACAACGTCTTGCTTATAATGGTTGGGATAAAGCCTGGCATATATCTGACCAGGACCAACGTGCCATCTCCAGGAGCTAGCACGCTGGCTCCGGCTAGGGACGAGTGCCTAGAGACTCTCATCCTGACGGGACGGGGCGAGGCGTGTGTCAGATCGCCTGTTGCCACCTAACCCGCAATCTGACCGATCTGTGACCGGTCACAGACCGGATAAACGAGCGTGCCATACTGCGCTACATGTGGCGTGACGCGCTCGTCCAAACCGCAATAAATGCGGTTAGGTGAGCCCCGCTATGCTTACCTACCCCATATACGCGGCGCAAAACCCACAAGGGGTCGGGGCGCCTCGGCCCTCGGGGCCGAGACGGGAGCGGTCCGACCCCTCGGGGAGACAAAGAGAAGGGCGGCCGTATCACCCTCGGGCCCGACCCCCCCGAGGGGGTTAGGCCACGTGGGTGATCGTGTCTGCCTCAAGTCTCTAAGTCATGATACTCCCGGTCCCATGTCACCGACAGTAGCCCCCGGCGTTATGTCAGGGCGATCGCCCTCCTCGAGGGAAGCGGTCGGGCGTGACGCCACTTTCTAAGGCCTGGTGACAGGTGGGCCGGTCTAAAAATCGGGACAAGCCGGTTCGTTTTTCCTAGAGATATGATGATGGCGCTTCGGTCGGCGAGCGTAATTAACGCGCGCACGATATGTTCCATCTCGACTGCCACAGCCGCATATCCACCTCATGCACCGCAAACGGGCGAATGGGATTAGTGGAAGCGTGGGCGCGAGAAACGAGGGGGCGAAATAGTGGGCGCGAGAAACGAGGAGCCGGGCACAGCGTTGGCAAGGGTATAAAGTCGCCGAGGAAGAGATTTGCTTCCTTCCTCTCGCTATTATTCCCCTTGTCTTCGCCGCTTGCGCCCTAACTCCTTGTTTCCTGTGCCCTACCTTCGCCACACGTGCTCGCTCTCAAACATCTCTTCTTCCGGCGTCATGGCACGGGGCTCCGCTCCGCTTGACGGTAGCGTGCTGCCGTCTTCCCGCATCGTGAGCGAGAGACAGGCCGGGCTGCCACGCCGCTTCATGCCGGAATCTGCCACCGGCCGGGAGATAGTCTCGCTGGGCGAGGGATGCCCGGCGCCACGCTACCCGGGGCGGTCCGTCTTCTTCCTCCCTTTTGCAATGGCAGGGCTGGTTCCGCCATTTTCTTCTTTCTTCATGGATGTTCTGGAGTTTTACGATCTCCAGATGGCGCACCTCACCCCCAACGCGGTAATGACATTGGCCATCTTCGCGCACCTGTGCGAGATGTTCATCGGGGTGCGCCCATCCCTTCGGCTGTTCCGGTGATTCTTCACCGTACAGCCGGTGTCGCCGCCGTCGGTGGTTGGTGGTTGCTACTTCCAGCCGCGGGGGCCGGTGCTGAACCGCTACATTCCCTGCGTCCTCCGCAAGAAGTGGGATGACTGGAAGAGCGACTGGTTCTACACCCCCCTCGCCGACGAAGCGCGCCTCCGACTTCCGAGCCAGCCTCCAGCGCAGGCCTCCAACTGGCGGGCGCCGGTAGATCTGGGAGATGGCTACGACGCCGTCCTCGACCGCCTGGCGGGCCTGCGATCCCAGGGGCTCACAGGGGCCATGGTGTTCGGCGACTATCTTCGTCGCCGGATCGCGCCACTCCAGCGGCGCGCTCGGGGCGCCTGGGAGTACACCGGGTCCGAGGACTGTATGAGGACCCACCGGGGGGTCAAATGGGACTGGGTCCCCGAAGACTTCAAGGTAATGATCCAACGGGTGCTGAATCTCAGCTCCGCGGAGGCATCCCTCATCCCCCAAGGAGTCCTCCCCCTCTGCAGCGATCCAGATCGCGCCAACATCCTGTCCATCATGATGGCGGTCGGGGCCTCAGAGGAGCGAGCTCCTAAGGGCCATGACGGTGCGAGCGGGAGCCGCAAGGGAGATCAATCTACCCCAGGAGGGGGTTGTGCTTCCGGGCCCCGTGATGGGGGCTCGGGGGGCAGCCGCCCTGCCGACGCCTGAGGGAAGAGGAAGCAAGAGGGTACTTCCTCCCCATCTCTTCCCCGAGGGGGCGGGGCGGCGCGTGTCAGCAGCAGGCGCCCGGAGGGGGCCGCGCCGACGCCGCAGCCCGAGGGGGAGCGGAAGAAGAAACGGCTCCGCAAGATGGGGGGGACAGAACCATCCCGGGGAAACCTCATTTCCCCTCCAAGGTGGTCGTTTAACCGACCCCCTCGCAGGTTCGTCCCACGCCCATTGTGGCTGTATTCATTCTTCCAACACAAGTTTTCATTCACCCACCTTGTTTGTCTTCTGGCTTTTCTTCTGCTTCAGCGAGATCCCGTCGCGTCCTTCTTGCCAATTCAAGTCCGGCCAATCTGAGGCCGAGAATGCGGCGACCACGGAGGCTCGGAGGCGGGAATCTGACCGGCGAGAAGCCGCGGATCGCCTACGGGAAGCCGAGGAGGCCGCCCAGGTGGCCGTCCGAGCTCGCCAAGCTGAAGAAGCCGCTCGGGAGGAGGCCAGACTTCGCCAGGCCGAGGCGGCGACGACTTCCGAGGCAGCTCGCGACGAGGCCGCGGGCGCATCGCTTGGGCCCACTCCCTCGGGCGACGCTCAGGACAAGCCAGGTCCGGGGGACATCCCTGAGTCCGGCACGTCCATCGGCGGGCCGAGCCGCGCGGCATCCTCACCGAGGCGGCTCTCCCCCACGCCTTCCGCTGCCCCACTGAGCGCAGAGCCTCTTCTGCAGGCCTTGGCCGTCGCTAACACCACGGTGTTGGACGGGTTAAGTGCCCAGATGGAGGCCTTGCAAGCAGAGCGGGTGGAGCTCGACGCCGCATGGGCACGTGTCGAAGAGGGGCGTCGCTCGGTGGAGGCCATGGTGGAGGTGGGCCGCAAGGCACACCGCCGTCACGTCTCAGAGCTCGAAGCCCGTCGGAAGATGCTGGGGGAGATCGCCAGGGAGGTGGAGGAGGAGAGGGGGGCTGCCCTCATCGCCACTACCGTGATGAACGAGGCGCAGGACGACCTCCGCCTTCAATACGGGAGCTGGGAGGCGGAGCTAGGGAGGAAGCTCGACGCCGCCCGGGGGGTCCTTGACGCTGCCGCTGCCCGAGAACGGCGGGCGGCGGAGACCGAGGTGGTATCCCGGCGGCGCGAAGAAGCCCTTGAGGCCCGTGCCATGGCGCTGGAAGAGCGTGCCTGCGCCGTGGAGAGGGACCTGGCGGATCGCGAGGCCGCCGTTGCCATCCGGGAGGCAACGCTGACTGCGCACGAGGCCGCCTGTGCCGAAGAGGAGTCCGCGCTCCGCCTCCGCGAGGACGCGCTCACCGAGCGGGAGCGAGCTCTCGAGGAGGCCGAGGCCGCGGCGCAACGGCTGGCGGACGGCCTGTCCCTCCGTGAGGCAGCGTGGGAGGAGCAGGCGCGCCGTAATCTGGAAGGTGCCCGCGCCGAGAGGGCCGCGCTGAACCAGCGGGCCGCTGAGCTCGAGGCGCGGGAGAAGGAGCTGGACGCGAGGGCGCGCAGTGGCGGGGCGGCCGCGGGCGAAAGCGACTTAACCGCCCGCCTCACAGCTGCCGAACA